AAATAGGTTCGACGTACAAAACGTTAGGAACTTGATATAATAGGTAATGACGCAGAGAAATCTAGTTGTGGTCGCTGATAGTTTAATGTCCGACATCGACTGACCAACTCTCTGAGCGATATTCAGTCACTCCATCACGAGGGCATCATGTGGCACGAGGCCGGTTTAACGTGGGATCTCCGAGACCGTGGGTTCGGCCAAAAATATGCCCTTTGAACCCGTATAAACGGGTTCAGGGTCGGTTTACCTCCCCGAAAGAGACTCCGCCCTTCGGCGTAGCCTCGTTCGGGTTCCTCCCCGCCCGAAGACAGAGAGTTCAACCGGTCAGCCGGTCGTCCGATTTCAGACTGAACTCAGACTGACTCACCTAGCGACTGCTACTATTACTCCTACTTATTCTAGGTGGGAGAGTCTATTAACTATAGAATAGGTGTGTTCCACTATAACAGTCAGTTAAATGAGTAGTTATCTGAAACAGCTTAACTGAATTTATACGATTCATTTTTAATTACATTTATACAATAGACAATTTTTATACATATTTCAATAGATGATTTTTATGCACATTTCAAGAGATGATTTTTTATACATATTTCAATAGACGATTTTTATGAATATTCCAATATACTATTTTTATGCACATTAAAATACACGATTTTTATGCAGAGATCACTATAAGATTTTCATACACATTTATTTCAATATACAATTTTTATGAATATTCCAATATACTATTTTTATACACATTACAATACACGATTTTTATACACATTTTAATAGACGATTTTTATGAATATTTCAATATACTATTTTTATGCACATTAGAATACACGATTTTTACGCAGAGATCAGTATACGACTTTCATAAATATTTATCTCTATCTATAACAGGCAGGATGTGTGTGTGTGTGTGTGTGTGTGTGTGTGTGTGTGTGTGTGTGTGTGTGTGTGTGTGTGTGTGTGTGTGTGTGTGTTTAACGAAGGCACGGTCGCAATTTTCGACGTATTTGCACATGCTCCAATTTAGCGGAAAGGCCAAGACCGCTTTTGCATTTACCAACCCTCATCGATAGTGGAAATAATCGATTTTTCATGCTTCTACGGCACTTTTCATGTAGGTTGCGGACATTTTCTACTGGCCAGAGTGAGAGCCTATAGCTTGCTGCCACGAATAGGCAGGAAGATTCTATTGGCCAACGTGAGCCAACAGCTGACTGACACGAATGTTAACTAGCATGCTAGCACGCAGAAAAAATCGATAGCTGCATTCGTCACAAGTGGGAAAAATTTAAATCTGCATGGCACTTTACTCCAATTGGCTCATTCGCTTGCTTAAACTCAACGTTGATTCTGATTCCGCAGAACTGGGTTGGATGTGAAAAAGTATTTGTTGTTAACATTCTTTTTTCATTCGGTTTTTCCAGTTACGAGTCCTTTTTTAAAGCTGATCGTTTTGTGTTCATTTTGTTTAGTTCTTTTTTTCGTAACAGATTTAATGTTTAGTATAGAGCTTAGAAAAAAAATCGCAGTGTGAGATAGGCAAGAAGTAAAGCATGTAGCAACATCAGCACGGCAAAGGGCACTCCTTTAAAGGCAAGGAAGGGCAAAAATATTTTAAGTTATTTTTGAATCAAGCACGAGCAACACCGGGCCATGCTGCTAGTTTCAATATACAATTTTTATGAATATTACAATATACTATTTTAATGCACATTAAAATACACGTTTTTTATGCAGAGATAAGTATATGATTTTCATACACATCTCACTATATAATTTTTATACACATTTCAAGATACGATTTGTATACACATTTCCTTATATGATTATTGTACCCATTTCAATATGCGATTTTTCATACATATTTTAATATACGATTTTTATGCACATTTCAATGCACGATTTTTATACACGTTTCAATAGACTATTTTACACATATTACAACACGATTTTTATACATATTTGAATATACGATTTTTATAGACATTTCAATATTCATTTTTATACACATTTCAATATGAAATTTTTATACACAGATTTGTATAAGATTTTCACATACATTTCAATATACAATCTTCATGCACATTTCAATACGATTTTTATACACATTTCAATATACGATTTTCTATGGTCGAAGATATTTAATGTTGATACTTTTTTATTTTTATTTTAATGGTTTCTAATATTTTTGAGTTTTTCTTTACAACGAGTCCATTGTAATATTTTGCTGTCACATATCATATTTTTTTAATTACTGTAATTAGAATTTAATTGATTTAAATATGACGTAATCTACAACGGTCAAACAAAAAAAAGCATGTATTCAAATTTTATCCCTGACTTATTCACAATTTAGGATTTCCTATGAAGAAAGATAAGTTATTTAAAGTTGGTTGTTGCTTTTGCTTTATAAGGTTTTTAGAATTCTGAGTTTTTCTTTGTCATGAGTCCCATATAATATTTTGGTGTTATCTATTACAGTTTCACTTATTTTGATATTAGTTTAGTGATTCAATATTCATTTTTTATAGAAATTTCAATATACAATACTTATAATACTCATTTACGTCCCACTTCCACATCTCTTCCAATCTCACTCCGTACGTGACATCTGTTCTTCTTTACGGCAGCGAATATTGGACGATTTCCTCAAAGATGTAAAAGAGACTCGAGGTGACGGAGATGTGGTTCTATAGAAGGATGCTGAGGATATCATAATAGTAATAATCATATAATAATAACTAAGAAAAGAATACTGAGCTGTTACGTGACATCTGTTCTTCTTTACGGCAGAGAATGTTGGGCGATTTCCTCAAAGATGAAAAAGAGACTCGAGGCGACGGAGATGTGGTTATACAGGAGGATGCTAAGGATATCATGAGCAACGATGAGGTCTTAGAGTGGGTACAAACAAGGAGGAGGGTTATATTTAAAATCAGGAAGAGGCAGGTAAGTTTCTGGGACACATAATCAGGAAGGACGGCCTGGAGAATTTTTTCCGTTGGACATCTAAAAAAATTCCTGAATATTTTCAGATATATCTCTGCTTACTGATCACTGAGAAATCTTGAGAATGACTGTGACAAACTATCTAGCGACACAGGCTTGCTAAGCCCAGTTCTCTTGTAGGTGACGTCGTTGGATGACACTTCAGCAGATTCTTTTTTGTTTTGTACGTTTGACTGTATAGCAGGTTGGAACTTTCTGTTTTTCACTTACACCAGCTGAAAATTTAATCAACGGACATTTTTTGGAAGAATTTTTAAAAAATGTTTTTCTTCTTTCATTCTGCTTTTAAAGAATCGTTTCCACATTCCTTTCTTATTATCTTTCTTTTCTTCGACTTTTTTTATCCTTATCTTTTTCGTTCTATATTCCTTTTTTTTCCTTAGATTGCTGGAAATAGAATTTAAGTCAGTTAAAAGTGACGTCATCAGCAAAAGGTTGATAAGCCTTAGTAAAACAAATCAATCAAACTTCTTCTTCTTCTTCTTCTTCTTCTTATTCTTATTCTTCTTCTTCAGACGAGATAAGACTGTTTCGTCGATCTAAAAAACAGAAGAAAAAAAAATACTAGCTCTCTTGAAAATCCGCTTTCAAAATCCTGGCTCTTTGCCTGATCCCGAACACAGCATTGACGTCTCTGTTTGCTATCATCATCGTCTTGCGGCCTCAGCCGAGATTGAACTCACCAACACTTTGATTGGTGTAGTTCATAATCTTGTCAAATAGCTGAATTCTTGATGCTTTGCTAGGGTTATCAAGGGTGTTTTTATCGTGACACCAACACTAAATGGATTGCCAACCAAGGCTCAGAGAGACTCCATTAACCCTCCTCTAAGAGCAGGTTTGAATTCTGAGTTCTCCTAGACCAGTTGCCATCCAAGGCTATAGAACCCAGTCTGTCTCTGTTTGCTATAGTATACACGGTATCTAGCGAAACCAGCTTGCTAAACATGGTTCTCCTTCTTTGTTCTATATTATTTTCCCATTAGATTATTATTTTTTTAATTACTGTAATTAGAATTTAATTGATTTAAATATGACGTAATCTACAACGGTCAAACAAAAAAAAAGCATGTATTCAAATTTTATCCCTGACTTATTCACAATTTAGGATTTCCTATGAAGAAAGATAAGTTATTTAAAGTTGGTTGTTGCTTTTGCTTTATAAGGTTTTTAGAATTCTGAGTTTTTCTTTGTCATGAGTCCCATATAATATTTTGGTGTTATCTATTACAGTTTCACTTATTTTGATATTAGTTTAGTGATTCAATATTCATTTTTTATAGAAATTTCAATATACAATACTTATAATACTCATTTACGTCCCACTTCCACATCTCTTCCAATCTCACTCCGTACGTGACATCTGTTCTTCTTTACGGCAGCGAATATTGGACGATTTCCTCAAAGATGTAAAAGAGACTCGAGGCGACGGAGATGTGGTTCTACAGAAGGATGCTGAGGATATCATAATAGTAATAATCATATAATAATAACTAAGAAAAGAATACTGAGCTGTTACGTGACATCTGTTTTTTACGGCAGCGAATGTTGGGCGATTTCCTCAAAGATGAAAAAGAGACTCGAGGCGACGGAGATGTGGTTATACAGGAGGATGCTAAGGATATCATGAGCAACGATGAGGTCTTAGATACAAACAAGGAGGAGGGTTATATTTAAAATCAGGAAGAGGCAGGTAAGTTTCTGGGACACATAATCAGGAAGGACGGCCTGAGAATTTTTTCCGTTGGACATCTAAAAATTCCTGAATATTTTCAGATATATCTCTGCTTACTGATCACTGAGAAATCTTGAGAATGACTGTGAGGCTTGCTAAGCCCAGTTCTCTTGTAGGTGACGTCGTTGGATGACACTTCAGCAGATTCTTTTTTGTTTTGTACGTTTGACTGTATAGCAGGTTGGAACTTTCTGTTTTTCACTTACACCAGCTGAAAATTTAATCAACGGACATTTTTTGGAAGAATTTTTAAAAAATGTTTTTCTTCTTTCATTCTGCTTTTAAAGAATCGTTTCCACATTCCTTTCTTATTATCTTTCTTTTCTTCGACTTTTTTTATCCTTATCTTTTTCGTTCTATATTCCTTTTTTTTCCTTAGATTGCTGGAAATAGAATTTAAGTCAGTTAAAAGTGACGTCATCAGCAAAAGGTTGATAAGCCTTTAGTAAAACAAATCAATCAAACTTCTTCTTCTTCTTCTTCTTCTTCTTCTTATTCTTATTCTTCTTCTTCAGACGAGATAAGACTGTTTCGTCGATCTAAAAAAACAGAAGAAAAAAAATACTAGCTCTCTTGAAAATCCGAAAAATCCTGGCTTTTTGCCTGATCCTGAACACAGCATTGACGTCTCTGTTTTATCATCATCGTCTTGCGGCCTCAGGAGATTGAACTCACCAACACTTTGATTGGTGTAGTTCATAATCTTGTCAAATAGCTGAATTCTTGATGCTTTGCTAGGTTATCAAGGGTGTTTTTATCGTGACACCAACACTAAATGGATTGCCAACCAAGGCTCAGAGACTCCATTAACCCTCCTCTAAGAGCAGGTTTGAATTCTGAGTTCTCCTAGACCAGTTGCCATCCAAGGCTATAGAACCCAGTCTGTCTCTGTTTGCTATAGTATACACGGTATCTAGCGAAACCAGCTTGCTAAACATGGTTCTCCTTCTTTTGTTCTATATTATTTTCCCATTAGATTATTATTTTTTTAATTACTGTAATTAGAATTTAATTGATTTAAATATGACGTAATCTACAACGGTCAAACAAAAAAAAAGCATGTATTCAAATTTTATCCCTGACTTATTCACAATTTAGGATTTCCTATGAAGAAAGATAAGTTATTTAAAGTTGGTTGTTGCTTTTTGCTTTATAAGGTTTTTAGAATTCTGAGTTTTTTTCTTTGTCATGAGTCCCATATAATATTTTGGTGTTATCTATGACAGTTTCACTTTATTTTGATATTAGTTTAGTGATTCAATATTCATTTTTTATAGAAATTTCAATATACAATACTTATAATACTCATTTACGTCCCACTTCCACATCTCTTCCAATCTCACTCCGTACGTGACATCTGTTCTTCTTTACGGCAGCGAATATTGGACGATTTCCTCAAAGATGTAAAAGAGACTCGAGGCGACGGAGATGTGGTTCTACAGAAGGATGCTGAGGATATCATAATAGTAATAATCATATAATAATAACTAAGAAAAAAGAATACTGAGCTGTTACGTGACATCTGTTCTTCTTTACGGCAGAGAATGTTGGGCGATTTCCTCAAAGATGAAAAAGAGACTCGAGGCGACGGAGATGTGGTTATACAGGAGGATGCTAAGGATATCATGAGCAACGATGAGGTCTTAGAGTGGGTACAAACAAGGAGGAGGGTTATATTTAAAATCAGGAAGAGGCAGGTAAGTTTCTGGGACACATAATCAGGAAGGACGGCCTGGAGAATCTGATACTCACGGGTCGAATAGAGTGAAAGAGAGACAAGGGAAAGTAGCATGTGACATAACTGACGAGCTTAACCGGGTGTATGACATGGTATGGGGGAAGGAAGCAGAGGAAAGGAACATGCAGAGGGGTGCAAGGGATAGAGGGAGGTGGAGATCCTTGATGAATGGACATGGCACATAAAAAGAAAAAAAAGCAGAAATGGTTAAGAAGTCGGTTTTTCTTGATACCTGAATGAGAAAATGCATAGGAGGATGATCGCATCCCAAACGATATCTCATGACCTTGTGCCAAACTATGAAAAATAGAGTTGAAGAATGGAATAATTTACTTATTAACTTGTATTTACGATGAGATATTTCAGTATGCTGTGAAATAGAGTGACCTGTAGAATGATTAACGGGTGATTGGAGAATCTGGAATCTTCTATCATTTCTAATATATATATATATATATATATATATATATATAAGGAGAAAGAGAATGAGAGTTACGAATAGTCATGCGAGAAGAATAATATACATAAGCAACCAGGCGATAACGTAGCAAAAAGGGAAGCCATTTTTCACACAGAGCGCATGCTCCGTAGGTTACATCAGATGACATTACCTTCACAACGACGAGGTCCTTGGGAAAGAGATTGGGATGAGATGAGTGTCTAACGGGCATTATGGCCTCTGGCAAGATATCCGGTCAGGCAATTCCATCACCAATTATCTTTCTTTTAGCAACTTTTACGCTCTATTTAGTTTTCTGTCCACCCTCAGGCTAAATGCAATGACCAGTGATGATCTGGATGTTACAAGTTCTTCATATATATATATATATATATATATATATATATATATATATATATATATGAATTATATCATAAAAGCAACTATGTATATGTATGCATATATAGGAATATAAATCAATCTATCTATCTATCTATCTATCTATCTATATATATATATATATATATATATATATATATATATATATATATGTATAGATGAATAGAAACTTGGGCATAACAGCAACTCTACAGATCTATCTATCTATCTATATATCTATATTTATATCTATATCTATCTATCTATCTATCTATCTATCTTCATCTATCTATCTATCTATCTATATATATATATATATATATATGCATGAATATCTATATATGTAACTATATAAGTAAGCATATATAGAGACACAATTATAGGCACCTGAACATGAAAAACTATCTCTCTCTCTCTCTCTCTCTCTCTATATATATATATATATATATATATATATATATATATATATATATATATGAATAAAAATATCAATAGGAAAACTGTAATTGCTGACGCGTTTCGTCCAATGTGGACATTATCAAAGCAAAATACAAAAAACTTCTCTACTGGTTAAATCGGAGAAATTTTCATATATATATATATATATATATATATATATATATGTGTGAATATATATATATATATATAAATATATATATATATATATATATATATATATATATATATATATATATATATATATATATAAATATAAATCAATATATATATATATATATATATATATATATATATCATTGATATATATATATATATATCATTGATTTATGATATTGGATATATATATATCACCTTGGTTTTTATATGTATATATATATATATATGTTTTGTGTGAATATATATATATATATATATATATATATATATATAATATATATATATATATATATATATATATATATATATATATATATATATATATATATATATATATATATATATATATATATATATATATATATATATATATATATATATATTATATTTATTTATTTTTCTATCTTTTAAGATATATTTATTTAAATGCTGAATATATGTTACAGGTTAGCACAGATTTATAAAAATTCATCTGATTTTATATGCTTATTTATGAAAGTGTGATAGGGTGAGAATGGGATGCCAGCCTCGTAGGACGCTTCAATTCATGGAGTCTGGGAACCAGCGAATGCAGCTTCTCGGAGCAATTACCATGAAAGTATTTGTCAAAAAAGACAGAGACAGCGACTGTATGCCTTAAACTTCCATCCTAAACACTTTAGAAACATTTCAAACCGTTTTAAGAACATTTTTGAAAAAATAGTAGTATTGGTGACCATACCAGTATGCGTCCTCAAATCACCTTCCTCGATGTTTACTAGCCAATATCGACTTGGGAAACCGTTGCTTCAAATCGGCCTTCCTTTCGAGTCTAACCGTCAACGCGAAGTGGATCTGCGATGTGTTATTAGGAGGGCCCGACTCGCCCAGTCGCGTTCACCATCTACACTCCTTTGTGACACCTGCTCACGACTCTACAGCCTTATCGCCACCCGAGAGTAGAAAGGGAATAAGGAGAGCAGGTGATGACCTCGATCCTCAGATGCAAAGGCGTACCGACGACGACTGGAGGTCCTTTCCTCCCAACGCGAATAATTAGAATCCGCGAATACTTGTAACACTCCCGCTAAAATTGCTTTTAAGTACCTATTTTGATATGCCTTAAACTTTCATGCTAAACACTTTAGAAATATTCCAGACCCTTTTAAAAACATTTTCGAAATATAGTATTAGTGACATACTTAGCGTAAATTTTCTTTCATACATACAATAACCGTTTTTAATTACGCATAGATCGATACAACCATTGAAAATACGTGTCTATATTTCTGAGATGAGGTATTATGTACATTATTTACATTATTCGGACTATTGTCCTCATCTTTGTCGCCGTATTTATTACAACGTTTCGGCCGTTGTATGTTCCGGCCTTCTTCAGGTGGTTGGCATGTCGAACTGAACACTGTGCCATGTATCGTCAAGAACACATGACACAGTGGATAAAGACGTTGGTTAGATCCAGTGACAGGAACCAAAGAGTGTGAGTTCAATACCCGGTTAAGGCAGTGGAGACCTTTCAGAGGGAAATTAACTGATAACTGACATCCATCAAACATGGCACGTGGAAGTAGAACAGTCTACCCCAGCGAGCGAAATAAAGGGTTCAGTTCGACATTCCATCCACCTGAAGAAGACCGGCGCGTACAACGGCCGAAACGTTGTAATCAATATGGCGACAAAGATGAGGACAATAGTCCGAATAATGTAAATAATGTACATTGAAAATATTGTATAAAATATGTGTGACAGGGCATAAAATATAAAGTTTAAAACATTTTCTAAAAAACAGAACTGTGATGTGTGATCCCAGACTTAACATAAGACAATTTTAAGACCCCGGTCGCAGCCCCTAACAAAGAACAAAGCCCAAGCACTATGCATATGATTACGTTTGTTTTGTTTTTTTTTACAATGATGATGTACAATTCTGCCAATTTTAGTTAGAATCCACAAATACTTGTACCCCCACCAAAGTGCTTATAAGTACCTATTTTGATTGTTAAAAGCCCAGATGCCTTAAACTTTTATACTAAACACTATTGAAACATTTCAGACACATTTTAAAACATTTTCAAAACATACATTTCGCTGGTCGAAGAGAACAGAATTCGATTTATATTACCTTAGTACTTCATTCGGTGAGAGTTCTTCTTGTGTAGCAGAAGTTTTTTTTTGTCAGTTGAGTCGTAGGAAAAAAATATTATCATCTATGTTCTGAAAGGCCAACTGCTAAGTTGAGTTACATTTGCATCCATCTATGTCTACGTCTCTCCTCTTTTTTTTTTACTGTCTTCTGTCTGTTGTCAACACTTTGTATGTTTATATGGCAATTCATTTTCCCGTCCCAGCTTGTGAATAGCTTACTCTTCTTTTTCTCCAATTTCCTAAAAAGCAGTTCTTCTCAGTGGTTGAATACAGTGAGTCCCCCCGTATTCGCGGGGGGTTAGGGACCAGAAACGGTCGCGAACAGTTAGAACCAGTGAATACTTGTATGTGAAGCGGCTAATGCTGAAATACGAACAGGCGGGGGCTTACGGTATATATGCAAATTTATCTGGGTTTTTTTTTGTTTTTTTTTTTAATTACCAAACAATATATTTATTTATTTCTATCTACCAAACTGAATATTCGAGAAATCTTGTTAGAAAAATATGTGTCCTGAGGTAGGATTCGAACCTGCGTCCCTTGTGGAAAAATGTCAACACATTTGATCAGAAGGCCCTACGTGACCAAGTTGTTCTAAAGCACGTCAGATCTAATCACTTTAAGGGGTATTTTATAAGCATAGGAGGGAAGACAACGTTTGACTCAAGACTTAGGTTAAAGTTGAAGTGATCGGGGAAACATCCTCTTGGAATCTATTCCACAGGGCAGCGAATTACGGGAAGATTCTGTCTGAGTGGAACTTATTTCTTGTCGATGGAATACGGATAGAGTGAGGGTATTATATAAATGGCATATTGGGACCTAGCTGGAAAGGTTAGAGCTGGTGGAACCTGGAGATACAGTTTGTCCGAGTATTTTCCCTGGCAGTAGCGTTTGGAGCAGAGAAAGACTCGCCACATCCAGTCTGTGAAAAAGAATTTGGAGTGTAGATAATATTTCTTCTACAACAACGAATCGGTGACGCTTTTGAGTTGAAAAGTGAGGTCTAGGCAGCTGCTGCCCAAATATGGCAATACGTACACCATTTCAGGCCAGAATCTCGCTCCTATAAAAGTAGAGGAGTCAGTTATTTCCGGGATTTGTACAAAAGCCGATCATTTTAATAGGATCTTTAGCGATGGATCGTATAAAGGAGTTCCACTTGAGGCCAGGTGTGAGTTTGATACACGTTAAATATTAGTATTTTAGAAGTGCTTAAATGTATTTTCAATGTATTTCTCCTTCATCATGCAAATTTCGAGGTTTACAAAAAGAGTTATGTAATGAAACTCAACTCAAGCAAGGTAATATTTGCCAGTAAAACGCAGGGGTCTATTGAGTTGGGTTATTTAATGCCAACAAAATTTTCATTGTTGGTAATATTTTTTTTCCAAAAATCTATTTCTAGTAATATTCCTTCCTTCAAAAAATCTATTTCTGGTAATAATTTTCCTTTGCTGGTAATATTTTTTTTTAAATGTATTGCTGGTAATGTTTATTTTTTCCCAAAAATGTATTGCTGGTAATATTAGTTTTCAAAAATGTATTAGTTGGGACCCTAACAGGTGCTACCACACCAGGTCAGGGTGGACCTGGGAACACCAGCAGTTCAGAGGTGGTTCCACACCCGTCAAAACCTCCTGATCATAGCTCTTGCCGTCGGATGTAGTTTATTGTCTTACCCAAGACGCAGATGTAGTTTATCGTCTTACCAAGGACGCGGATGTAGTTTATTGTCTTACCCAGGACGTGGATGTTGTTTATCGTAATACTAGGACAGCACAAATAAATTACACACACACACACACACACACACACACACACATATATATATATATATATATATATATATATATATATAGTCTGTATCAAATAAATTTTATAAAGTTTGGGGGCGGGTAACTCACACCAAAACAAGGACAAAGTTCCTATAAGCAAATCCTTCCTTTGTAATCATTTGGATTTTGACCAGTGGGAACAAATACGTCAAAGGCACAATAACCATGTGCCATGGGGGCCTGCAAACCGACTCGACGCCGTGTGGGTGTATCTGAAAGGGATCCACCAGTCAATGATCCGACGGTTGCATGTGTGTGTAGAAGCAAACGGAAGACATTTTCAACATGTGTTGCTCTTTTGAAGTACAACGATGGCCTTTTAGGAATAGTGATATTCCAAGCGTAGCTTAGGTGTGGCATAAGGCCGAAAGCATAGTGCACCCAGTGAGGATCGAACACACTTCTCATTCGAAATTGTTCTAGCAAGGTAAGCTTATTAACCATTACACCGCATCTAGGTGCCCATCGCCCTTTGGACATATGTTTATATGGAACCCGCTTCCAAATTTTGTAAAATTATTTTTGATACACTCTGTATATATATATATATATATATATATATATATATATATAGTTTTATTTAATTAATCTCCGTTCGCGGTTATTTGTTTCCATAGCGACAGTAACGTTCAAATGTGAATTTAAGCTATGAGTCTCCTCATTTTTTTTTAATCTATTTTACAAAAAACTACAATATTTGATACCCCAAATTCTCGGTTTGAAATAAACCCTCCCACATTTTCGACCGGTGGTTATGTTAGGGAGAGAAGGAAAGACAGTGCGATGTTCGGTTTTATTTTCGATGATTGAATAATTAATGTGACGGCTAATTAAGATATTATGGAGCTGTGACTTCAGTTTCAAGAAAATGGAACATGGTATTCCTCGTCTGACGAGTAAAAAAAAAGCCAACTTGGCATTTCCAAGTTTCACGTGAGCGGGAATCGAATTTAATTACGGGAAAGGTTTACGATTCATTCAAGACGGGTAACCGAATAACTTGAATATTCGCACGACATACGCAAAGGGCCAATGTCACCTTTGAAAATATAAGCATTTTAGTCGTTTTCCCAAAAGTGCCATAATCTATCTATCTATCTATCTATCTATCTATCTCTTAACATTGGTTAAAAAAAAAACGGATCGTCTACTCAAATACGAGTATCCACTGAAAGTAACGATTAATATATATATATATATATATATATATATATATATATATATATATATATATTATATATATTTTTAAAAATATGATTCCATCGCTAGTATAATAATTAATTATAATTATAATATAGACTATACTTGTGTATCGAGCACTGTTTTTTTTTTTAAATAAAAACATAAATACTAAAGAAATTCGGATTATGGTTCTTTCCTATTGTTCATCGTATATTTACGCGCGCGCACACACACACACACATATATATATATATATATATATATATATATATATATATAGTTTATGAAAAAGTAGGTAATCCGTATGGGTAAACCCAAGGAGGATGAAATCCAGAGAGCTCAATGTAAATCCAGAGCAAATAATTTAAATAAAAACAGATCGCTTTAAGGTTCCATGTAATAAATTTTATACGGAGCTAATATTTAGTTTATGAAAAATATAAGGAGCTAATATTTATATTTATTACATGGAACCTTAAAGTGGTCTGTTTTATTTAATATATATATATATATATATATATATATATATATATATATATATATTTTAACATACAATGTGTGTTAGCACGTGCGATACCCTGACTTCATCAGCCGCTGACCAGGGGTGATCTCACGGTTTCGGTGACTATGGCGGGACCGCCACCCTAGGCGCCACCAGCAGCATTTGCCACCAGGCAGGGTATGAAAAAAATAATAATAATTGATCGTTCCTCTTTGCAAATTCTTAATGAAATAAATAAAACAATTGTTCCTCTTTGCAGCTTCTGTCCGTAATGAAAGTTCCTGAACGCGTTTGCCGTTATTGACGCGCTCGTAAAAATCGTTATAAACGGCTATGCAAATATTTCACCTGCGCATATTAGGTCATGATGATGCGCGCATAATATTTCACTAATGTTTGTTCTGATCTTAACTTTCCTTTCTAAATTTGTCGTCGATTTGGTCGTTTTTCCTCTTTTTAACTTTTCCATTAACGGTTCAAATCACTCAAAGCAAACGTCGTATATTATTCTACAAAAGGAACTGATCTTTTGCCCTATGTGACCCTTAAGATTGTTATTAAGGATAAAAGAAAGCTCTTTGTCAAGATTAGTCCAAACAGTCTTCTGGTTACCTTTTGGCCACTGTATTCTTGGTTTACGTAGGATTTCTCCAGGGTGCTGTCGCTCAACGATGGAATCCTGAACGCTGTGGGTGTATTCCAGATTCATAATCCCATCACTCGATTTACATTCTCCAATAGGAGAATTACGTTGTTTGCACCAGCGTGCCTTATGGATACGTAAACCACGTAAACCGTTGAATCTTCTGCCGCAATCATACGTTGTAGCCGGGTCCATATACAGGTCGTTTCCATTAAAATCAGTCTGATGGGTGATATATTCTCCCTCCCCGCTACAGTCACCCAGAGGGAATTCTACGTCTTTTGCATTCTTCATGCTTTAATGTAGATTCTTGTCTTTCCAAGATGTCACTCCACCTTTCTAGAGGGTCACTTCGTCTTTCCGAAGAGTCATCTTGCTTTCCAGAGAGTCTTGGTAATCAATTTTTAACATACAACGTGTGTTAGCACGTGCGATACCCTGACTTCATCAGCCGCCGACCAGGGGTGATCTCACGGTTTCGGTGGCTATGGCGGAACCGCCACCCCAGGCGTCACCAGCAGCATTTGCCACCAGGCAGGGTATGAAAAAAAAAATTATATATATAATTATTTCTACCTGCATATCCTTGCTTGAACCGGCTTTTAATGCTCTGGACTGAGTTTCTTCTGTATAGTAATTGTGGCTCGCAGAGGTACAGTCCTGTAGGTAAAGAGAAACTCGGATGTGTTCCACCACGGAATATGTGATCGAGCGGCGCTTTATCGAGTCTAATTCGTTACCTCTTCGTCACCGAAGGCCGGTGGTAGGGCGTTTGCTTCCTATCATAACTATTCGGGTTTCAATACTCGGTAGTGGATACGCACTGCTGATCAGTCCCAAATATAGGACGAAACGGCTGTTCAGTGTTTTCTGCATTCTGTTGAGGTTTCTTCTAAACTCGATGAATTACTATTATAATTATGTCAAATCCTCCTAATTATTTCTAACTATATATAATTCTATGTTTATATCTACAGTACTACGCAGAAGTAGCCCCTTAGATGATATTAAAATAATTGCCACTTTGTTCCAGAAAATCAACAAATCTTAATTAAAGTATATATCCTTTAAGAAAAATCTTTTTTAAACGAAACCACTTTCAAAAAATGTTATCAAGCTGGAATAAAAATGTTAATTAAAAATGTGCAAAAGTGAACACTTAAATTTACATTATGCATTCTTCTTGTATATGGATGCCAGTGCAAATAATTTTTTTGTGCACGTGTAAAAATCAAATTGAGACATGATCATTTTTGTTAGCTGTGTATACTGATGTCAGCTAATATAACCCCTTGCATATCGTTACGGTCCGGTTCCTTGTAATAGGTGATAGTCCAAGGTAGAACCAATAAAGATGAACTCGAACACGGATATGGAATAACACAGATATATTACAAACAGGAATATATACAGAGAAGTAGAAGTGTTAGTACGAACAATCAGGTTTAATAGAGAGAACAATGTAGTCTCGACCAGTATCACTATTCCAATGTCTTGCAGTAATTGTCTGAACGCGACTCTGTTTCGGAATGCCTCTGACTCGACTCTTGACTCGACTTGAACTACTGACGATTTTCAGTATCCCCCACGAGGGCGTCATGTGGCACAAGGCCTTTTTAACGTGGGCTCTCCAAGCCGGTGGTCTCGGCCAAAAATATGCCCATTGAACCCGTATAAACGGGTTCAGGGCCGGTCTACCCCCTTTCGGGTTCCAACCCGCCCGAAGGCAGAGAGTTCATCCGATCTGTCGTTCAGGACTTGAGCGACTGACGATATTCAGTCACCCGCCCCCCACCCGCCACTGGGGAAGCATGTGGCACAAGGCCGGTTATACAATGTGAGATCTCCGAGCCCGTAGGCTCGGCAAAAAAATGCCCATTGAACCCGTATAAGCGGGTTCAGGGTCGGTTTACCTCCCCGAAAAAGAATCCGCCCTTCGGCGTATCCCCTTTCGGGTTCTTCCCGCCCGTAGGAAGAGAGTTTAACCGAACAGTCGGTTCAGACTTGAACGACTGACTCCTTGCCTTCACCTGAGGCGCAGTATTTATGGAATAGTCCATTATTATTATTATGGGTATGATCCAATAACACGTATGCAAAAATACAGTTCGAAATTAATTAATGAAAATATATGTCAAAATCAAAAGAACTTCGCATAGTTCAAGCCTCTAAACACGGAGAAGGTTACAAAAAGCTTCCAAAAGTATGTGGGGTGCACGTCTCCATCCTGCGACAAATTATTTTTAAATGGATGGCGTTTGGTACGACGGAATCGTCAGCAGAAAAATTACTGCAAGATCAAGTAGATATCAAATTCGGCAAGCCTATGTGAATCCTTCTGTGACCTCTGCTGTTCTTCAAGGATCCTCTGGTCAATGTTAGCTTCAATTTGCATATGTCTATAGCGGCAATATCTGAAAGATGTCGGTCTTTATGGCAGAATACCTAGGAAAAAAAAACCCACTGCTTGCGTAAAAGCACACACAATCTCGGTTCAACTATGCTGAGACTCATAGAGTACTGCTGCCATATATGGTCTAGAGCCACTGCTAATTGTCTCAAGGTCCTTGATAAAATCCACAGACGGATATACAATGTAATTGGCCCTGATCTGGCATCTCGTCTGCAGCCGCTTTCTCACAGACGTGCCGTTGCCTCCCTTTATCTATTTTTTACAAATACTTTCACGGTAACTGCTCCGATGAGCTGCTTTCACTGGTTCCCAGACTTCATGAATTTAAGCGTTCAACTAGGCTGGCATCTCGCTCTCACTCTTTCACTGTCGAAAGGGTTAAATGTAACCGTCTTTCTACTCCAATAGCTTCATGGCTCGCACTTCTCACCTGTGGAACTCTTTCCCCATTTCTTGTTTTCCTGATAGCTATAATCTCCAACTATTCAAATGTAATGTCAATCGACGTCTCCAGATGCCCGGATCTATCCCCTAACCGTCTCTTCAACCTTACCTCTATCACTCTTCTTTATTCTCGCTCCAACTCTGTAACCCCTTGCGTGCTTGTGGCTTCTCGCCTTGCTTGGGGTTGAATGTTTAAAAAAAATATTAATAAGCCAGAGATGTTCTGACAAAAGGTTTTATAGTCGGATGATACTAAACTAGAGCTTTTGGGAGCAATGATATGTAGTATGTCTGGCGAGCTCCGAATATCACTTCTGGAGAAAAAAAATGGTGACGACTGTTAAACATGGTGAGAGCAGTGTTATAACTTGAATGTGCTTTGCTGCAGCTGGACTAGGAAGAATAGTAGGCATTGACGAAACAATGGACTCTGAAAGAAAGAAATTTTGAACTAAAGTGTTTTACTCTTGGTTCGAAAATTGGGTTTAAGTTGGAACTGAATCTTCCGACATGAGAATCATCTGAATCATCAAAGAAATGCACAAAAGAATGGCTTCGAAAAATAAATATCAAGTCTTGGAATGGCTTAGACAAACTCTTACTCAACTGAAAATCTATTGTTAAAGAAGACAGTACACGCCAGAAACCCTGGTTAATATAGAGCAATTGTGACAGTTTTAACAAGAAGAATAAATCAAAACTTGACGCTCAGTACTGGTAGAAACTTCATAAAAAATATTTTAAAAAAACTTGATCGACGTCGTAACCGCAAACGGAGGAGTCACCAAAGAATAAATGGAAGGGTTCATTTGCTTTTGCGGTTATTCATTTTTCATTTTTAATTAATATTTTATTCCAGCTTCATAAAACTTTCGAAAGTGGTCGTTTTAATAAAGTTTTTGTTTTCTTAATGAATATATAATTTAATTAAGATTTGTGGATTATTTGGAAAAAAAGAGACACATTTTTAATATATTATCTTGGGGTTCAATTACTTTTGCGCAACATTAGATTGCTATGCCTTTCTTTCTTCTATCTATCTATCTATCTATCTATTTTCTTTGTTCCTCTCTATATATGTTAACCTGCTAATTTCTACATATCTATCTATCTATCTATCTATCTATCTATTTCTTTGTTCCTCTTTATATATCTTAACCTGCTAATTTCTATCTATCTATCTATCTATCTATCTATCTATCTATCTATCTCAGCTATATTTAGCTGCCCCCCCGTGGGGTAGCATGTGGCACAAGGCCGAGTTTAATGTGGGTTATCCGAGCCCGTAGGCCCGGCCTAGGCGGGTTCGAGAGCTGTCAACCTCCCCAGACGAAACCTTACCCTTCGGCAAAGCTTCGTCCGGGTTCCTCTCTGCTAATGCAGAGAGTTAGACAGACGGCGGTTGCTGTAAGTTTGATACAGCTATCTATCTCAGCCTGTTCATATCTATCTATCTATCTATCTATCTATCTATCTATCTATCTATCTCACTCAATTCATATTTATATTTGACATCATCTATTTTAATCTGTTTCTATCTATCTATCTATCTATCTATCTATCTATCTATCTATCTATCTATCTCAGTCTGTTCATATCTATCTGTTTGTCTATCCACGTCATTTTGTCATACTTCACGTATTTATGCTTGTACCTATCGATTTGGCTGTCTTTCACTCGGTGTATTTTCCAAGCACATCTCTCTACCAGAGCGGCTATCAAATCCCTATTACCGATTCCTTCTCCGTCCATTGTGTCCCCCTGTCGTTTATATTTTAACCATGCTGAGCAGATCGTAGTTATCATTTCTGTGATTAAGAGCATAATATGGCTTGATCAGTTTTCGTACACAGCCATCGACGACTACCGAACGGGGAAGTAATACCAGCGCGTGGTATTTGGGGAGCAATACCAGCGCGTGATACTTTTGCAAAACCATGTTACGGGGGAACCAACGCCTTGTGTGTCAAATTGGGTAGACGTTCCGTTCCAATTTGACTCACAAAGCTTTGGTTCACCCGTGGTATGTTTTTGCAAAAGTACCACGTGCTGGTATTGCTCCTCAAGTCGATATTACCATGAATTCGTTTCCCTGACAACTCGACTGTTAAATAATTATATCATAATATTTTCATTGGGTTTTGTTGATCGACTATAGCTTACCTGCAAGCATACTTTTCGGAGTAACTTTTGTTCCGTCTACCTTAGTCTGTTTTAATTTTTTTCATCCTCGCAATTGTGCTACGCAGAGTCATTCTGTTCAAGTCTCTATAGCCTGCTAAATGTATTTACACGTTTACGTAATTTGACGATCAAAATAAATGTGTCCTCCTGGTGGTTACGAACACAGCTGCCTCTTTATTTTCTCCTGACACTGATTGGTTACTGGGCGAACGTGTCAGTTTTCGACATTGATCAGAGGAAGCAATCTCCTTTCGCCATTTATCGTAACAAGAAACCTAGCTTCTTTAGTCTCGCTACTTCGCCGTCATATCCATTTCTCTTTTTGCGTCAACCGAATCCTTTCACAACGGAATACGATCGTTTCTTTTCATTGTTCCGTTCCGCTGTCTAAATACAATCTCTATTCATAATGTTTTGACTTACATCGATTCGTCGGAAGCGGACATTTCGAAGCGAATGTAGGTCATGTCACTTCTCTGTTTCGGAAAATAATCAGTTGTTTAAATATGCTTAAAAGAACTTCGATTTGTTACATTATTGGCTTATCTTACGAATTTATTATGGTGTTCTGTCTTAAGTGGCATCAGAAGTATTCAGGTATACTTCTGGTTACGTCGTTTCGAGTTAAGTCATTCTCGATTATATGTCGTTTGTCAAAAAACATATGGAACAATAAAAATCAAGTTTAAGTCATTTTGTTCGACTACGTTTGTTCGCCACAAGTACTGAAGTCGTAATATCACTAGAAAAGCGTTAAAAGCACATAAAATCCTGTTATTGTACAATAAATAAGAATAAAATTATATAAAACCAAATTAAAATACTTACATTTACAGTAAATGTTAATATAATCATCATAAATCGTAGAGAACGAAATATAAAAACATCGGTGGCTCTGTGTTGTCGTCTTATTTAGCAGTCTTTCAAGCTATATCGTAAGGCTATATCTCTGACTAGCAGCATGGCCCGGCGTTGCTCGTGCTAGATTCAAAAATCGTACGACTCATACAGCAATCGCTATCACTTGACTTAAAATATTTTGCCCTTCCTTGCCTTTAAAGGAGTGCCCTTTGTCGTGCTGATGTTGCTACATGTCTTACTTCTTGCCTATCTCACACTGCAAATTTTTTCTAAGCTCTATACTAAACATTAAATCTGTTACGAAAAAAGAACTAAACAAAATGTACACAAAATGATCAGCTTTAAAAAAAGGACTCGTAACTGGAAAAACCGAATGAAAAAAGAATGTTAACAACAAATACTTTTTTACACCCAACCCAGTTCTGCGGAATCAGAATCAACGTTGAGTTTAAGCAAGCGAATGAGCCAATTGGAGTAAAGTGCCATGCAGATTTAAATTTTTTCCCACTTCTGACAAATGCAGCTATCGATTTTTTGCATGCTAGTTAACATTCGTGTCAGTCAGCTATTGGTTCTCACGCTGACCAATAGCATCTTCCTGCCTATTCGTGGCAGCCAGCTTTAGGCTCTCACTCTGGCCAGTAGAAAATGGCTGCAAACTACATGAAAACTGCCGTAGAAGTATGAAAAAAATCGATTATTTCCACTATCGATGGGAGTTGGGAAATGCAAGGTCGGTGATGGCCTTCCCGCTAAATTGGAGCATGAGCATGTAAATTTTGGTGCAAATCCGTCCAAAATTGCGGCCGTACATTCGTTACACACACACACACACACACACACACATATCCTGCCTTTTATAGATAGAGATAAATTATTTTATTCAGAATACTGTACGTTGAATTATCTTGTTATTATTTAATTACAATTTATATTATTTTAGTTTGAGAAAAAATTATGTACTCTACATTTTAAATAAAAGAAATTTTAGAGTTTGAAAATGTTTATAATTATGTATGGTGTTTTGGAAAAAAATTACACGTATACCTCGGCTTACGTCGTTTCGAGTTAAGTCGTTCTCGATTATACGTCGTTTGTCAAAAAATATATGAAAAAAATAAAAATAAGTTTAAGTCTGTTCGCCACAAATACTGAAGTCTTAATATCACCGGAAAAAGGTTAAAAGCACATAAAATCATGTTACTCTACAATAAATATGAATAAAAATGTATAAAATTATATTAAAATACGTACATTTACAGTTAATGTTAATATAATCATCATAAATCCTAAAGAACAAAATCTGAAAACATCTGTGACTCTGTGTTGTCGTTGTATTTAGGTGCCATTAAGAGCTCCATATTGGTGTTTGCCACGGTAGTTCCAATATCTACCGTTTGGTGTCGCTGTCAGCGCCACTCGTGATTCCCGCGAAATTGAAAACCAGTTTAAATTAACTATACGCACGGTATACGTCTGTTTGTCTCTCTACTCTCTCATTCTCATTCATTTGTGACTTCATATTTTACCCCAATAAGAAAAGAGAAGAAAATCTTTGAAGAGATGGAACAACTTTTATCTCATTGGATTGATAGTTTAAATCATCAGCGTGCTGCTCTGAGTCGAGAAATAACTGAAACGAAAGCATTGTCTTTGTTTCAGAACCTGAGCAAAAAATACCCAGATGAGAAAGATGTAGAGTCAACAATGAATTCGACAACTGTATGGAAGATTGTTCACAATAAGGATAAATCTTTGGCATATATTAAATCTGATATCCCATGGTTGAAGAATACTCTTATCAATAAGACAAGAGGAAAAATTTTTGCAGAGATGGAACAGCTTCTTTCTCGTTGGATTGATAGTTTAAATCATCAGCGTGCTGCTATGAGTTAAGAAATCATTCAAACGAAATTGTTGTATTTGAGGACCTGAGCAAAAAATACCCAGATGAGAAAGATATAGAGTTTAAAGCTAGTCAAGGCTGGTTTATGAGAACGAAGAAATTATCACTCTGTCTATATTTCTGAGATGAGATATTAGGTACACTATTTACATTGTTCGGACTATTGTCATCTTTGTTGCCATATTTATCACAACGTTTCGGCCGTTGTACGTTCCGGCCTTCTTCAGGTGGGTGGAATGTTGAACTGGATCCTTTATTTCGCTCGCTGGGATATACTGTTCTAGTTCCACGTGCCATGTCTAATAGATGTTAGTCATCAGTTATCTCCTGTTATTTCCCCACTCCAAGTTCTCTGCCGCCTTAACCAGGTATTAAAATCACACTCTTTGTCACTGGATCTAACTAACGCCTTTATCCACTGTGCCATGTGTCCTTGAGGATATCTGTAGATGAATTTCTGTGTATTATAAACCTACTGTCTTCAGCAACCATTTGTTTACCTGCTTAAAGCGATAGAGAACTGGTGAGGCAATTTTTTTTTTCCACAGTAGGTTGCCATTTCTTTCTGCAGTAGACAAATTTCCATCAAAGGCTATAGAACCCGGTCTGTCTCGGGGGAAAATAAGCGGATTCACACGTTTCTCAAGGATATTAGCACGTAATTTAATATAATGGATTCGACCGGAATTCGAACTCGGCTCTCTGATTCTTCAACCCGAGCCGCTATCCATTAGACCCCCATGCAGCTGATGCACGTATTTGAAGCGTTTGTATTTACAAATGATCCATCTTGAAGTTTTATGGTAGATTCGAGGTGGGTGTCATCACTTCTTTCATTCCAATTGCGTTTCATAGCTTCTAAGGATGGGGAATGTGACACAAAAATCCGAAGTTGCATTGGGATATCGAAAAATGCCTTCCATAAGTTAAGCAAAGTACGAAGAATTACGAAAATTTAATTGGAAACATTGACAAGTTTACATTTATTATTCTTTAATCATTTCACACCAAGTAAGCCAATAAGGCCTCCAAGATAAAAAGGGCTTAATGTGTGTGAAAGAAAATGCAATGTCAAACGTCATCTTCTGCATCCTGTTTTTTTTTTTTTTAAGCATTTCACCCCAAGCAAGGCGGGAAGCCACTAGGACGCAAGGGTTTACAGAAAATTTAGAGCAAGATCAGATAGGAGTGATAGAAGAAAGGATGAGGGTAGTGGATAGATCAAGGCAACTGGAGATGTCGATTGACATTACACTTGAATATCTGGAGATTATAGCTCACAGGGAAACAGGAGAAGGGAAGGGAGTTCCACAGGCGAGAGGTGCGAGATATGAAGCTATTAGAGTAGAAGAGACGGCTACATTTAGGAGTTTCGACAGCGAAGGGGTGAGAGCGGGATGCCAGCCTCGTAGGGCGCTTACTCATAAAGTCTGGGAACAAGTGAATGCAGCTCCTCGGATCAATTGCCATGAAAGTATTTGTAAAACAGACAGAGAGAGGCGACGGCGCGCCTGTGAGAAAGTGACTGTAGACGAGACGCCAGAGCAGGTCCAACCACATTGCATATCCGCCTCTGGAGCCTATCAAGAACCCCGAGGCAAACAGAAGGGGCACCAGACCATATATGGCAGCAATACTCCATGCAAGTATTCTTACTTACTGTAAGAACTATACTGTTCTTTTACTCTCTTCTTTATAATTGTTTTTAATGGGTTCTTTCACACTCAGTAACCACCTTGAGTGTTAGTGGCTTTATCGCCTTCATTGGAATGAATTGGAATCGTGTGTTAAATGTCGTCAAAATGCATCTCGTGATGCGTCTCATGATAAATGGCTGGCTACTCTGTTCCCAGTACAAACGTTTGATAGGGCGATTTTTCAATCCCTGTTACATACGCCTGATCAAGTACATTTGTGTATGTCCGAAACCCACAGAACTCAAGTGTGGTTTATACTGCAACCATGCTGAACCGACCCTAGTCTTTCTTGACACAGAGAGACAGAGACAGACAGACAGACAGAGAGTGAAAGAACAGAATCCGGTAGGACCAACAGATTTCTTTTTAAAAGGACAGCACACCCAGTCACGATGGTTTGCAACGATCACCGATATCTTCCGAACATTTCCGCCTACCCAATTTCATTCAAAAGTCTTGGATCAGCCGGTCCCTACAGGTTTCAGACCAATGGCACCGCCCGCTAACATTAAGCAGATACCTGCTTGACAGGTCGACCATGATGAGATTCGAACCTGCATCTGATGATCGGAAAGTGAATGATCTCACCATTCGGCCATGTGTCTTATACGCTATCGTATGCGTCAGTTAGCTTTCATTTTATTTTATTCGTTCATTTTCAGTATGATTTACGTTTCAGGTTCTGTAAAAATAAAAATAAAATCAAATAAGATCATAATTACCAGAGTGAGCCCAAACTTAGTTTTTATTATTAATTTGGGAGAATGTGATATAAACATGTTTTATAGATCGGTTGAATGTTAGGAATATTAATGACAATGCCGAAACATACATTTTGTGTGATGAGTTTTGTTTTCAGCCGATGACGTCTTAAAGGACAAAATGAATCCCACAGAGAGCGACACATAAACACACTGAGAGATAGATAGATAGATAGATAGATAGATAGAAACAGCCACAGAGAGAGAAAGAGTGAGAAAGAGAGAGAGAGAGAGAGAGACACAGAGACAGAAAGGAAAAGCAGACGCTCAAAAAAATTCCTCTTTGTCAAAATTTTACTAGAATTATTAAGTTCAAAATTTGAATAGAAACTTGATTCATTCTTGGCGTTAGAGAATTTTAACGGTGTTTCTCTAACAATAATCACGCTACGATGTGCGTTTTTTTTTAAGTGCAACTGTAACTGCGTTTGTTGTTGACAATCCTGGTTTTTCTTTGTCTCATGACACGAATTTCACTGGCAGGTGCTTTTCGCTTGAAACTTATCGTAAGTCAAACCTGAGCTATTGTCCTTTTTTCCCGATTGAAAATGTCATGCTTTAAATAATTAATGGTTCTCATATCCTTATATCTAATGTTATTGTTAAATTTTGTATGTTTCGTCCTGTTATTTCTCTATTATACGTCATTTCAATAAAGCCTACTTTTTCGACAATTCTTATCACACTTATTAACAAAATAGTTGACCAAAAAGAATATTAATTAACGTTAACCGAAAACAGTAACTACGTCATAGTCTTCTTTTGTAATCCTTGAAGATGTTGGCGATCATGGTTTTCCACAATTTCCTGTCCTTTTTAGCTCTTAAAATTGTCTTTTTGTTCCGTGTCATAAAACCATGTTCTGACATATAGTTCAGTACATTTTTTCGCATTTACAAGTTCATGTTTAACGTTTTACTGATTGTTTACAGCATTTAATAGAAATAAAACATCCAGGATATATTTTAAATCAGATTAACTTAAAAATATTTGTTAATATGCCAAAACATATTTTTAAATCATATTCACTTGAAAATGTTTTTCAAATATGCAAAAACTATTTTTTAAATATTTCAAATATTGTTTGTTTAAAGAAAGCTGAAATGTAAATAATTAATCTACAAAAAACGGGATGAAGCAGCAAATCGGGATCTCTTTGTGTCTGTCTTTAACATAAAAAATATTTTAGTTAAAAAATTGTCTGTTTGAATAAAGTTAAAATAAAAAATACTTACTGTATAAACAACTCGTATTTTTAAATCTTGTTCCTTTAAATCAGATTAACTTAAATCATTATGCGCCGGGCGGACGCACCAAAAATGCACTCATGCAATCGCAGACTTCTAGTATTATTTAGCAAGATAGATGTGCACAATCTTAACAAGGTAAGATATGCAGTTAACAGTTTTTTTGTATCTGTTTTGTACGGTTTACAAGCTTTAACAGGTTATTTAAAACCGGAAATATTTCTAGATTGTCATAACCTTTTGGAGATAAGGGTTTAATGATACAGTTCCTATTAATTTAAATAATGGTTGTAAGGTGAGAAGAGCTGGATTCATACGCTTCCCAAGTGTATTTACTCGTAAATGAATATATGGAACCCTAATCGAATTCGAACTCGGCTCTCCGATTTCCTATTCCAAGCCGTTATATAATTTTTAAAATAGGAATTTAAAAATTGTTATTGATATCCAAATCGAACCAGTCACTCCCAAAACAGTTGTAATATGTTTGAGCTCCTTCTGTCTACACAGAGTCGGACGCTGTGTTTTAGATATTCAGATGATTGTTTTGTCCGGGCTCTGTGCGGAACTCGGAACACTTCTGAATAATTGTCCCTACAAATATTTGTACTTAACAAGTGTTCATCGATGGCAGATTCGTGTGTTTGTGAATACCCGGATGATGTTATTGGTGTATGCCTTCGGATCGGACCAGGCATATGTCGAGCAATCATCATCTCTAGCCACTGAATGGTTTTACCTATTTAGTAAGCATCGTACTGACATTTAAAGCAATTAATAACCATGTTTTGTTGGATGGTAGCTAAAATATCTATACGGATAGAGGGGGAGATACTTTTACGAGAGATGATGATACGTACTACAATAGAATAAAAATAGTGTATTATAGATCCACCCCACAAAACTCGACTTTAGCATTATTTTTATACCGACAATTGACTTCTGAAGAAGTGTCAGTCGAAAGGTGCCTTAGGTTATATATATATTTTATTCGATTTTACTCGCTAAATATTAAATTATGGGCCCTATCTTAAAAAGTTATATATATATATAATGAAATGGACAAAATTTGACAATTACTTTAAGATATTTTTGTTTATTAAACAACATATACCGGTTTGAATGTCCGAGAAATTTTCATAGAAAATATTCGTCCTCCGACAGGAATCGAACCTGTATCCTACTCGAAACCGTCATATAGCGTGACGTGCCCTAACCTTGTTAATCGAACTCTCCTTTGTGGCCCAATCGGTTAAATGTTGTTTAATACTGCTTATTATAAACAGAGCATTTAGTTAAATATATTTATAAAGAGAATCTATAAGCATAAAAATGTATTAATATACATACACACACATACACACACACACACACACACACACACACACACACACACACATATATATATATATATATATATTAAGAAATGGACAAAGTCCGACAATTTAAGACATTTAGATACAAGTATTTAAGTAAATGCTCTGTTTATAATAAAAAGAACGTTAAACATAAAATGTCTTTAATAAATAAATTGTCGGACTTTGTCCATTTATTAATATGTGACGTCATTTGTTTACATTTGATACGCCATGAGCAGTTATGAATGTACGAGATTCATGGAAGATTGAAGTTTATAAGCAGTAAATTCGACCTATCCTACCGAACGCTCCTTTGTGGCCGAGTCGGTTATGGCACGTCAGCGTAAATGACGGTTCCGTATAGGATGCAGGTTTGAATCCTGTCAAAGGATGAATATTTTCTATGAAAATTTCTCGGATATTCAGGCCGGTAAATGTTATTTAATACTGTTTATTATAAACGGAGCATTTACTTAAATACTTGTATCTATAAAAAGAACGTTAAACATAAAAATGTCTTTAATAAATATATATGTGTGTGTGTGCTGATTAAAGAATATCAAATACTTAAAATACCATAGGTAATAATTTTTTATTTCATGGGAGCTCTAAAAAAGCAGCTCTCAATCTTCAAGACCTACAAACAAAATTGAAGATTGAGAGCTGCCCTTTTTAAATTTCTCATGAAATAAAAATTATTACCTATGAGATTCTTTAATCTCTGATATTCTTTAATAATCTATATCCTCCTGGAAATTCCATATGGATTAAAATATTGTGTCATTATATATATATATATATATATATATATATATATATATAAAAAGTGAACATAAAGTCAACACCTAGAGGCGACAGTCTGTTTCATGCTATATGCAATCGTCAGGCCACATGTGATCTGACGATTGCATATAGCATGAAACAGACTGTCGCCTCTAAGTGTTAACTTATGTTCACTTTTTATATTTACACACGCTCTATCTCTGATATTGAGCACTTTATTCCATAAATATAGCACACCTTAAGACTATATTTCTTTATATATATATATATATATATATATATATATATATATATATATATATGCATTTGACAGAATGTGCCGATAGCTCTGCAAATGTATAGGATCGATATGACACTGTTTTGATATTATGAACAGACCCCCATTCAAAATCGATAAAACATATCAATATTCTTCAATTGTGCCAAATGTCGTGGTTTAAGAAAAGTTGAATGAATTCTAATCTACAATAATTTTCTCAAAAATATTTCATTTTCTCAGGGGTAGACCTGTGTATTTAGTTACTGACCTTCTTTTTCTGAATGTTGAAAACATTCTATTGTCCAAATTGCTTGCCTCTAGACAAACTAAAAATGGAAAACTTGGAATGAGTTGCCATAGTCAAATGTAAAATAAGTCACAGAACTCTCCATAAAGTTTGCAATAAATAATAATAAAAAGAGAAGAAGAAGGTCCAAAAAATACAAAGTAAGCAAAAAATTGCAATACAAATTTACAGTAATAAGTTTCGCAATCTAAGAAGTGGCGCTGACACACAAAAGCAAGTTCGGACAAGCGTACGTAACGTAAAAAGACAAGACAGACCGGGACTGAGTCAGATGAAACCAATTAGCGGGCAAATGTTTTGTCTAGAAAGAAATCTTAAAACGCATTTATTTTCATCTTGATTGCTAATTTGGACATTGGAACACAAACACGGACCGACATGGTTCAAATGTCAACGTTATATAGATAACCGTTTTGATGCCGACATTGGGCAGATCAGATAGACGAGACTTTTAGGAAAATTAATGTCAGTTAATTACCTAGCGATAACATGATTCGGAGCCTAATGCCCCAGTTTGCAAGTACTGGATCAGTCGGCGGTCTTCTTTGAAGAGATACTAAACTGGTTTGTGTTAAGTGTTTTTAAATCATTCCCAGATATTTAAACCAACAGCAACTTTGAACAACAGAATCTGTTTAATCATAATTTATATTAGAAGAATGACACTAAAAAATGAAATTAAACCTATTTTTATAGTTGAACATCAGAAACCTAAAGAAATATTTTTTTTTTAAATATTGTCTTTTCATTTCGATTTTCGAAATAAATTCTTTAAATCTAAACTATAAATGCCAGTAAAAAAATATATAAGAGAAGACAGAACTGGCACATTAGGAACTAAATTATCTATTGCTGGTATTTTAAATTAGGTCTTTGAAAAACCTATGGTACTAATGGTATGGCATTTCCTCGAAGTACTAACGAAAGGTTAATTAAGTCTTAAATTTAAAAAAAAAGCAATTCTATTGTGCGATTGTCGAGTAGTCAAGGATGTGTCGTGCTAATTTACAGCGAAAATTGTTCATGTCAAAAAACAACAAAGAACACGGAAGGAAACTTATATAGCCTCAAGCTTTTTCGTGCTATGTAAATATTTAGAGAGGCTTGTAGATGGAACGAATTTCACTGCACTTCCTACTATTCTTGCCTGACATAATTATTCTTTCTATTGATGTCTTCCCCTCCTCACATCTGCTATACAAAACAAGCAGTCTGTCTGTTTGTTTCATGCAGGAGCTGTTTATTTATTTATTTATTTGTAGTCCTCGCGTTGTAAAACGGTTAATTGTACAGGATCGTCATCCGGACGAAGACGTCCAGTGATTGTCCGTGAGCAAACGTCAAAACCTGCTTATTATTTCATCGTCCCTTGAGTAGTCTCCGTTGGTCGCTGCACCGCGATCACGTGAAAAAGTAATGACGATGTAACGAAGTAAGGAGGGCAAAAAAAAAGTTGTCGGGAGAGTGAAGTATTGAGAATGAAAGTGAAAGTAAGGAAATGCTGGCGAGAAGGGTTAGTGTGATGGAAAACGAAAGTGAAAGTAGGGAAAAAATGTTAGTGAGAATGTGTAGAGATATCGAAAATAAAAGTGAAAGTAGGCGGAAAACCACAGCAGGATCACCATTTGCACTACAATTGTTATCTCTCGGACGATTATCAACCAAAGCACAATTGTCATTGCTGCTAAGCTCACGAAATCTTAATTCTTATTAATGTCTCGTTATTTTCCTAAAAGTCTCATCCAACTGATCTGCTGAATGTCGCAATCAAAACGGTCATCTAGATAAATGTTGTCAGTTGAACCATGTCAGTCCGTGTTTGTGTTACCCTGTCCAGATTGGCAATCAAGAGGAAAAAATAAATAGACATAGACATTGATGAAGTAAATGGAGAGCAAATGGTACTTGTGATTAAAACAAGGCTTTAAAGGGATATTCATCGCTTCATCGAATTAAAATAGTTATAAATTTAATATTGATAATACATTTTTCTATTGTACCTTTTATATTGTCCGAATACTGCCTTGTCGAATTCTCCAGATCTAATCGTATTAGCATGACAAAAAATTAAACGCAACCGCCTTTACTACTCCAACAGCTTCTTCTCTTGCACTTCCCGACAGGGAAACTCCTTTCCTCTTGCTTACTTCCCTCTTAGCTATAATCTTGAAATATTCAAATGTAATATCAGTCGACATATTCTGATGTCTTGGTCCGGATTCCCGCTCTTCTCTATATCCTTTACTCAAACACCTCTGTTTACTCTTGCCCCCGCTCTCTGTAACACCTTTCCGTGCTAGTGACACTTCCGCCTTGCTTGGGGTGAAATGCTTTAAAAAAATAGACTGGCTGGCCGCTGAAAGCTGAATGATATAAAACAAAAAAAGTTAGAAACACATGAGTATCTTGGGGTAGTAAAATTTGAACCATTTGAATATTGTATGGAAACTTTTAAATTCGGTTTCAGAATCTTCTGATGCCTAGTCGATTAGATCGATGACAGGTAGAAGCTGATGCAAGATGCAAGGACACTGCCGTACAGCTTCAATCGCTTCGACAGTAAGTATGGTGCGCTTAGGATCTCTTCAGGAAAGACCGCCGACTGATTCAGTCCTTGCAAACTGGGGCATTAGGCTCCGGATCATGTTATCGCTAGGTAATTAACTGACAGTAATTTTCATAAAAGTCTCGTCTATCTGATCTGCTCAATGTCGGCATCAAAACGGTCATCTATATAACGTTGACATTTGAACCATGTCGGTCCGTGTTTGCGTTCCAGTGTTCAAATTGGCAATCAAGATGAAAATAAATGCGTTTTAAGATTTCTTTCTAGACAAAACATTTGCCCGCTAATTGGTTTCATCTGACTCAGTCCCGGTCTGTCTTGTCTTTTTACGTTACGTACGCTTGTCCGAACTTGCTTTTGTGTGTCAACGCCAATTCTTAGTTTGTGAAACTATCGCCATATTACTGTTGCTTTGACTTATTACTGTAACTTTGCCTCACATTTATTTGTTTGTTTTGTATTTTATGGACCTTCTTCTTGGACATAGACATTGATGAAGCAAATGGGGAAGAAGTGGTTCTTGTGATATAAAATAGCTATAAACTTAATATTCATAGTATTTACATTAGTCGGACTATTGTCCTCATCTTTGTCGCCATATTTGTCACAACGTTTCGGCCGTTGTACGCTCCGGCCTTCTTCAGGTGGTTGGAATTTCGAACTGAACCCTTTATTTCGATCACTGGGGTAGACTGTTCTAGTTCCACGTGCCATGTTTGATGGATGTCAGTTATCAGTTATATAATTTTCCCTCAAAGTTCTCCACTGCCTTAACCAGGTATTGAACTCACCTTCTTTGGGTCTATCACTGAATCTAATCAACGCCTTTATCCACTGTGCCATGTGTCCTTAATATTCATAATACATTTTTCTATTCTACCGTTTATATTGTCCGGATACTGCATTGTAGAACTCTCCAGATCTAATCATATTACCATGACAAACAAATTAGTGGGCGTGACACATAAGCTGATCATACCAATCCATTCAAACCAACGTTTGTAATAAAAGCGATACCTTGCATTATTTACATGATTGGAAATTTCGAAATTTCAATCTTCTGAAGAAGGCCGATGCGTACAATGGCTGAAACGTTGTGAATATGGCAATGCAAATGAAGATAACATCCCGAATAATGTAAATAATAACCTCATCTCAGAGATATAGACAAATATTGAATGTTCGATTCGAAATTCCAATCACCTGAAAAAGGCCGGAGCGTACAACGACCGAAACTTTGTGAACACGGCAATGAAAATGAAGATAACAGTCCAGCTAATGTAAATAATGCAAGTAAGCATAATACCTTATCTCAGAGATATAGAGATGTTGAATCTTCAATTCGATATTCTAATCACTTGAAGGAGGCCGGATCGCGCAACGGAACGGAGCGTTGTGAATATGCCAATGAAGATGGGATAACAGTCCGAATAATGTAAATGATGCAAGCAATCATAATACCTCATCTCAGAGATATAGACGGATATTGAATGTTCGATTCGAAATTCCAATCACCTGAAAAAGGCCGGAGCGTACAACGGCTGAAACTTTATGAATATAGCAGGGAAGATGAGGATAACAATCCGAATAATCTAAATAATGCAAGTGTGACGTGTGATGAAAGCAGATAGCCTAAACACGCATATACGCATATATTAGGGTTAATTTCCGCCTAGCAACAGAATAAAGGTCATGTGGGAGTCTTATGACATTTTGGGAAGGCAGGTCAAAAGGTTGACTGACCCAATTGCCCGTAACGACAAATGACTAGACAGAAGCTAGAGAGGGGACGGATGTAAGCTAGAATTCGCGCCAAAACTTAAGACACGTGACAGTCAGAGATTCACTCGAGAATCAGTTGCTATCTTGACTGGGAAGAGGCAAGACCTGAAGCCGAAGCGCTGATAGTTTATGAACGGAAAGATAAGATGCATTTGATAGTGATGGAACTTATCCAGTTCAACCCAGGCAACTCCGGACAAGAAATATAAGAAGTATTCCTGTTCGAGATCCCCCATATTGAAGACGCAGAGAGGAAGAAAGTATATACCTCTGTTACAAGTCGAATTGTGTAAAGAAAGAAAAGGGAAAACCAGAGAAGAAAGTGTATACCTCTGTTATAAGCTGAATTGTGTAAAGAAGAAGAAGGAAAGAAAGAAGAAAACCAAAGAGAGGAAGAAAGTGTACATCCCTGTTGCAGTAAGTCGGGTTTGGAAACCGAGCTGTCTACAGAAGAAAAGGAAAGAAAGAAAAAGGCGAAGCAAAGAGAGGAAGAAAGTGTATACCTCTGTTACAGCCGGACAGTGTGTGAAATTGTGTTTGTGTCGAGAAAAGAAAAGAAAGGACATTGATATAAAAAAAGAGAACTGAATATAAAAGATAAGTAATCATATTTTGGACCCGTAGTAGAAAGATATACATACATCCATGAATATTATGTTCTTGCAAACACCTTTCTACATTTAAAAACAATAATTATAACTCCTATCCCATCTCTTTTGTGTATGCGTTGGCTTCTGCATTCAATTCATAGTAATTCATACTTATATTTTTGTATGTTCGGGTTCAGTTGAATCCATTTGGAGTTAGGAGAATTTTGATATCCCAACGTAAGTTTTGAGATCTGGTCGTCGGATGTTTTAACTCATACTTATCGGATCTTTTATTTTGATATTTGTATATTTGTACATATTAAAATTCTTGTATCAAAAATCGCTAAGCCTTATAGTTCATCCTTGTATTGTGGATCAGTATTCGTGTTGAAAACGAAGCGGACCTGGGAAAGATTACTGTTCGATTATCCCAATCGAACGGTGGTCTCAAAAATATTTTTGTTTACCAATTGTCCATTGTCAAGATCTGAGAGAGATAGCTTGTATCTCTCCACGGGTGTGAGAATGTATATATCTCCTAGTCGGCGTATGATCGCCCTATAAACCCATTCGTCGACTGGGGCATATGACACAAGTAATCATAATACCCCATCTCAGAGATATAGATAGATAAAGTTGATTCCATATTTAATACAGTGATAGCATTCTCTTATAACCAGGCTCTATTATTCTGTTTACCAGTGAAGTTTTCAATTGCTTTCAGTGTCTCCCCGAATCTTTCTTTGTCCCTTGAATGAAACAAAAATACTTACTTTGTATTAATTGCTGGTTAGATTTATTTTTATTATAGACACACAACACAAAATTATGTCCATATTTTTTTTTTACTCCTGCTTTGTTTTCCCGCAGTCTTTTAGGGATCAAGAACACGTTGACTGTAAAAAGGGGCCACCTATTGACTTTACTGAGTCTTGCTTTTAGAGTTTTGTGCAAAATGTACCCATGTATACGGGAATCTAGTGCAAACCGACCTTGTGTTTTACATTTTTGTCTCTCTGTTTATCTTTTTCACTCATGTGCAAATCAAACTTATATCGACCTTTTCAACTCTCGTGTAAAACCAGTTGTATATCGATGTTCATTACATTTGTCTACTTTATGACTTGAGGCGCAGTACTAGATTGTCGGTAAGGTCCCATCATTTCACTGTGGAATTGGCTAAATGTAACCGTGGGTTCTATGCCAAAATTTTCTTTTCTCTCAATTTTAGCTTATGGAAATCTCATCCACTCCATGCTTTCCAGCCATCATTGATCTTCTAAAAATTTAAATACTATGTTAATCTTCTTGTTTACTCTGCTTCTACGTCTGTCTATATTTTTAGATGAGGTATGGCAACTATTTACACTATATATATTATTCGAACTGTTCTCCTCATCTTTATTCTCATATTCACGACGTTTCTGTATGCTCCGACATTCTTCAGGATTTGTTTATATTTTTGAGGTGAGGTATGGCTACTATTTACACTATTTATATTATTTGGACTGTTGTCCTTATCATTATTGCTATATTCACAATGTTTCAGCCATAGTACGCTCCGGTCTTCTTCGGGGTATGTCTATATTTCTGAAATGAGGTATAGCAACTATTTACACTATTTATATTTTTCGGACTGTTCTCATCTTTATTGTCATAATCACGACGTTTAGGACGTTCTACTCTCCGGCTTTTCGTTCCTCTTTTATAACACTTCCTACATAAAAATTTCGTCGTTCCTCCCATGTCCAGTCCATGGTATTCACACCATCCCTCTGTATCACTTTTGCTTCAAGTCTCTTTTGTATCTGTGAAGAGATTGTCCTGCATTGACTACCATGTTGAAGAACTGATATTACATAACATTTCACTACTCTTTTCTTTGTTTCTAAGGACATTTTCCCGTTTCGTAATACTTTGCTTAGCTTCTGAAACTCATCTTTCACTATCGCAATGTTTCTTCTGATTTCGGAGTCGTATTTTCCATCCTATGTAAAAATACTTTCCAGATAGATTGACAAAATCTAGTATGGTCATAAGCAACTTATTCTTACTGACTAAACTCGAAATCCCAAAGTCATAGCTAAGCTTCGGAAATATTTGCCCGGAGTAGGTAGATCTCAAATCCATCATATATTGATTGATTTATTTATTCTACAGCTTTGCCGATTATTTAAAACCAGAAAATATTATTAGATTGTAAGATTTTTTTTAGGTAATATTGGTTTCGTGATACAGGTCTTATTAATTAACCCATAGATGGGGAGAAGATGGGGGTTCATAGCTTTTCCAATGATATGTGCGTGAATAGGAATATAATGAAGCCAACGGCAACTGAACTCGTCTCTGCTATTTAAAATTCCGAGAACTTACCCATTACACCACCCGCACATCCAGCCTTAGAACACATAGTTTTCCAAAGCGGTCAAGATTCTGATTAGGCTTGACGTTGTTTAATTTCAGTGATTAATTAAATGTTGTCAATATACTTTGAAAGATAAATAACCTCGTTGGAATATTATTTTTATGACATATCATAACTGGACATATCATATCATACGAACATTTTTTTTTAAGCATTGGCATTACATTTGAACAGTTGGAGATTATAGCTCTCAGGGAAACAGTAATTGGGGGGGGATGTTCCACAGGCGAGAGGTGCGAGGTATGAAGCTATTGGAGTAGAAGAGACGGCGACATTTAAAAGTTTCTACAATGTAAGTGTGGGAGCGGGATGCCAGCCTTGTAGGGCGCTTGAATTCATGGAGTCTGGGGACCAGTGAAAGCAGCTCATCAGAGCAATTACCATGGAAGTATTTGTAGAAAAGACTGAGAGAGGCGACGACGCGTCTGGGAAAGAGCGACTGCAGACGAGATGCCAGATCAGGGCCAATTAGATTACATATCCGTTTCTGGATCTTGTCAAGAACTCCGAGGTAAGCAGAAGGTGCCCCAGACCATATATGGCAGCAATACTCCATGCAAGGGCGAATGGTTGTTTTGTATATTTGAAGTATCGATTCAGGGGATATATATTATGACATATCATATGAACATATGACATATCAGAAGTGAATCTGCCAACGTGTGACTAAATGCGGGGGGAAATGATTCATTAAGGCGACAATTGGATGTTATTGTCACCAAGTTTAGAGTTATTCTAATATTGATACGGTCGGCGGCAGTCGGTGCTTGTGGTTTTATAAATGATATTTGTGATTTCATTAATGGTGTTTATGAGTAAGATATTAATGCTTAGTCAGAGAGACGAAGGTTTTATTTTTTTGTCGCTAGCAACCAAAGTATGGCGGAAAACAGAGTCTTATTGAACATTCAGAGGTAAGTTATCAAAAATGCGAAAATAATAGAGGGGTATACGTAAGAAAGAGGGAAAAGGGAAAATAGGAAGTAATATTAAATAGATGAAGAATAATGGTGAAGGTGAAAGTATCATAGACATTACTTCTCTTAATTGGAACCCTTCATGAAATTATTATTATATCCCTTAGTGCTCAATTCGATATGAATATATTTACATTATTCAGACTATTGTTCTCATCTTTGTCGCCATATTTATTACAACGTTTCGGTCTTTGTACGCTCCGGCCTTCTTCAGGCGGTTGGAATGTCGAACTGAACCCTTTATTTCACTCACTGGGGTAGACTGTTCTAGTTCCACGTGACATATTTTAATGGATCTCAGTTGTTAGTTATCTCCTGCTAATTCCCCTCACCACTACCTTAAACGAGTATTGAACTCACACTCTTTGGGTTCTGTCACTGGATCTAACTAACGTTTTTATCCACCATGCTATGTGTCCTTGAGGACATCTGTGTATGAATTTCTGGGTATTATGAACATAATGGCTTCAGCAATCTTTATTTACCAGAGCTCATATTGCAATTTTTGTTGCTACTATCACTTTTGTCTGGCACTCCTTAATACTGGTTCTCATATTGTATTCATTTCTATGCTTGGTCGGCTCAGGTTATTTTTGTGGCCTAGCACATGTGCTGATTCCTTAAGAAGACCTGAGCGTACAACGGCCGAAACGTTGTAATATATATGGCGACAAAGATGAGGACAATAGTCCGAATAATGTAAATAGTGTACATAATACCTCATCTCAGAAATATAGACAGATACTGAAGGGCCGAAACGTTGTAATAAATATGGCGACAAAGATGAGAACAATATTCCGAATAATGTAAATAGTGTACATAATACCTCATCTCAGAAATATAGACAGATACTGAAGGGCCGAAACGTTGTGATAAATATGGCAACAAAGATGAGGACAATAGTCCGAATAATGTAAATAATGTACATAATACCTAATTTCAGAAATATAGGCAGATACTGAAGGGCCGAAACGTTGTAATAAATATGGCGACAGAGATGAGAACAATATTCCGAATAATGTAAATTGTGTACATAATACCTCATCTCAGAAATATAGACAGATACTGAAGGGCCAATATGGCGATAAAGATGAGGACAATAGTCCGAATAATATAAATAGTGTACATAATACCTCATCTCAGAAATATAGACAGATACTGAAGGGCCGAAACGTTGTAATATATATGGCGACAAAAATGAGGACAATAGTCCGAATAATTTAAACAGTGTACATAATACCTCATCTCAGAAATATAGACAGATACTGAAGGGCCAATATGGCGACAAAGATGAGGATAATAGTCCGAATAATGTAAATAGTGTACATAATACCTCATCTCAGAAATATAGACAGATACTGAAGGGCCAATATGGCGATAAAGATGAGGACAATAGTCTGAATAATGTAAATAGTGTACATAATACCTCATCTCAAAAATATAGACAGATACTGAAGGGCCGAAACGTTGTAATATATATGGCGACAAAGATGAGGACAATAGTCCGAATAATGTAAACAGTGTACATAATACCTCATCTCAGAAATATAGACAGATATTGAAGGGCCAATATGGCGACAAAGATGAGGACAATAGTCCGAATAATGTAAATAGTGTACATAATACCTCATCTCAGAAATATAGACAGATAATGAATATATTTGTAACTTATTTTAGCTTGTACTTTTCTTATTTAACTTTAACCCTGTGGTGGGACACTTTGTTTATTAAGGCCTTTGAAAAAATGGAAGAAGAATTAAGAGAAAAAACATGGTAAAGATGAATAAAATACGAAAAAAGGAGGGAGGCGAAGAAAAAAGAAATGACTATAAAAAAGAAAAGAAAGACTAAATCCTGTAGCAGTAAAAAAGATGAAGGACAGAAGAAGGAGGAATTGAAAAATAGTGGAAAAAGAGAGAAGAAAAGATAAAAAATAGAAAGAGAAGAAGAAAAGAAAAATTGAAAATATGAAGGAAAAGATGAAGGAAAGTATAAAAACTAGAGTGAAGAAGAAAAGATGGAAAATGTGAAGGAAATGAGGAAGGAAATAATAAAGACTAGAAAATGAAGTAAGAAAAAAATGAAAATGTGAAAGAAAAGAGGAAGGAAAGAATAAAGAAAATGTGAAAGAAAATGGAAAGGAAATAATAAAGAGTAGAAAAAGAAGATGGAAAGAAAAAATGAAAATGTGAAGGAAATTGAATGTAAATAATAAAGAGTAGAAAAAGAAGAAAAGAAAAATTGAAAACGTGAAGGAAAATGGAAAGGAAATAATAAAGAGTAGAAAAAGAAGAAGAAAAGAAAAATTGAAAATGTGAAGGAAAAGGAAAAGGAAATAATAAAGAGTAGAAAAAGAAGAAGAAAAGAAAAAATGAAAATATGAAGGAAAAGAAGAAGGAAAGAATAAAAACTAGAAAAGGAAGAAAAGATGGAAAGCGTGAAAGAAATGAGGAAGGAAAAAATAAAAACTAGAAAATGAAGAAGAAAAGAATGAAAATGTGAAGGAAAAGAGGAAGGAAAGAATAAAGACTAGAAAAAGAAAAAGAAAAGAAAAAAAATGAAAATATGAAGGAAAAGAAGAAGGAAAGAATAAAAACTAGAAAAGGAAGAAAAGATGGAAAGCGTGAAAGAAATGAGGAAGGAAAAAAAAAACTAGAAAAAATGAAGAAAAAAGAATGAAAATGTGAAGGAAAAGAGGAAGGAAAGAATAAAAACTAGAAAAAGAAAAAGAAAAGAAAAAAAATGAAAATATGAAGGAAAAGAAGAAGGAAAGAAAAAAAACTAGAAAAGGAAGAAAAGATGGAAAGCGTGAAAGAAATGAGGAAGGAAAAAATAAAAACTAGAAAATGAAGAAGAAAAGAATGAAAATGGGAAGGAAAAGAGGAAGGAAAGAATAAAAACTAGAAAAAGAAAAAGAAAAGAAAAACAGAAATTGAGAATAAGAAAGAATTAAGAAGATGACTTAGAAAAATAACAAGAAAATAAAAATTGAAAATAACAATAAAAAAAAGGAAAACTTAGTAAAAAAAAGAAAAAAGAAAAATTGAAAAATGCGCGGGAAAAGAGGAAGGAAAAATAAATCTAGGCAAAGAAGAATTACAGGAAAATTAAAAGATATGAAGGAAAAGTAGGAAGAAAGAATAAAAACTAGAAAAAGAAGGAAGGAAAAAATTGAATATGTGAAGGAAATAATGACGACTAGAAAAAGAAAAAAACAGAAAATTGAAAATGTGAAAGAAAAGAGAAAGGAAAGAATAAAAACTAGAAAATGAAGAAGAAAATATTGAAAACGTGAAGGAAAAGGGAAAGGAAATAATAAAGACTAGAAAAAGAAGAAGAAAGGAAAAATTGAAAATGTGATGGAAAAGGGAAGGTAAATAATAAAGAGTAGAAAAAGAAGAAGGAAAGAAAAAATGAAAATGTGAAAGAAAATGGAAAGGAAATAATAAAGAGTAGAAAAAAAGAAAAGAAAAAATTGAAAAAACGTGAAGGAAAAATGGAAAGGAAATAATAAAGAGTAGAAAAAGAAGATGGAAAGAAAAAATGAAAATGTGAAGGAAATTGAATGTAAATAATAAAGAGTAGAAAAAGAAGAAGGAAAGAAAAAATGAAAATGTGAAAGAAAATGGAAAGGAAATAATAAAGAGTAGAAAAAGAAGAAGAAAAGAAAAATTGAAAACGTGAAGGAAAATGGAAAGGAAATAATAAAGAGTAGAAAAAGAAGAAGGAAAGAAAAAGTGAAAATGTGAAAGAAAATGGAAAGGAAATAATAAAGAGTAGAAAAAGAAGAAAAGAAAAATTGAAAACGTGAAGGAAAATGGAAAGGAAATAATAAAGAGTAGAAAAAGAAGATGGAAAGAAAAAATGAAAATGTGAAGGAAATTGAATGTAAATAATAAAGAGTAGAAAAAGAAGAAGGAAAGAAAAAATGAAAATGTGAAAGAAAATGGAAAGGAAATAATAAAGAGTAGAAAAAGAAGAAAAGAAAAACTGAAAACGTGAAGGAAAATGCAAAGGAAATAATAAAGAGTAGAAAAAGAAGATGGAAAGAAAAAATGAAAATGTGAAGGAAAAGGAAATAATAAAGACTAGAAAAAGAAGAAGAAAAGAAAAAATGAAAATGTGAAAGAAAATAGAAAGGAAATAATAAAGAGTAGAAAAAGAAGAAGAAAAGAAAAATTGAAAACGTGAAGGAAAAGGGAAAGGAAATAATAAAGACTAGAAAAAGAAGAAGAAAAGAAAAAATGAAAATGTGAAAGAAAATAGAAAGGAAATAATAAAGAGTAGAAAAAGAAGAAGAAAAGAAAAATTGAAAACGTGAAGGAAAAGGGAAAGGAAATAATAAAGAGTAGAAAAAGAAGAAAAATTGAAAATGTGAAGGAAAAGGAAATAATAAAGAGTAGAAAAAGAAGAAGGAAAGAAAAATGAAAATGTGAAGAAAAATGGAAAGGAAATAATAAAGAGTAGAAAAAGTAGAAAAGAACAATTGAAAATGTGAAGGAAAAGGGAAGGTAAATAATAAAGTGTAGAAAAAGAAGAAGAAAGAAAAATTTAAAATTTGAAGAAAAAGGGAAAGGAAATAATAAAGAGTAGAAAAAGAAGAAGAAAAGAAAAATTGAAAATGTGAAGGAAAAGGAAAAGGAAATAATAAAGACTAGGAAAAGAAGAAGAAAAGAAAAAAGAAAAATGTGAAGGAAAACGGAAAGGAAATAATAAAGACTAGGAAAAGAAGAAGAAAAGAAAAAATAAAAATGTGAAGGAAAACGGAAAGGAAATAATAAAGAGTAGAATAAGAAGAAGAAAAGAAAAATTGAAAATGTGAAGGAAAAGAGTAAGAAAAGAATAAAAATTAGAAAATAAAAAAAAATATTGAAAATGTGAAGGAAAAGACGAAGGAAATAATAAAGAGCAGAAAAATAAGAAGAAAAGAAAAACTGAAAATGAGAATAAAAAAGAAAATGAATAAAACGGAAAAGTAAAAAAAAATAGAAAATGAAAATACAAAAAAAGAAAGAATAAAAATTGGTAAAAGAAAAATTGAAAATGAGAATGTTATTTACCATACCTATACACATTAATGGATATGTCCAAATCCTCATACGTTGGACACTATTGTAAGTAGTGGGTAATGTGCTAATTCGGCCACCACTAGCAGTGGTTTACCTATTTCACGCTGCTGGCCAGTAATGTATTGTGTTGATGTTATAAAGATTACCATTTCATTTCCAACTTGCGTTGTTTTGTTAATTCTCATTCAGTAACATTTTACGGTTACCACAGAGAATAAAATGAAACAATAAATATAAATTGGTAAAAGAGAAGAAAAGAAAACTTGAAATGTAGAATTAAAAAGAAAGAATAAAAATTGATAAAACAAAAATAAAAATTAAAAATGAAAGTAACTTACGATCTCCTGAAGAAGTACAATCGTAGTATTGAAACATGAAATAATTTTTTGTAACGATTACAATTTTATTTATTATTATAATATATATATATATATATATATATATATATATATATATATATATATATATATAATCGTAATATAAATATACTTGATATAGAAAAAATAATTTTACTGACGGTAAATAACTCGGATACATTTTACTTCTATTGAATGAAATATAGTCTATAAAAACTAATAATGAAAATATTTTAAAGCTGTAATTAAAACTGTAGTTAATTAAAATGAATTCTAACCTAAACTTCTTTTAAATTGTAATTAAATAAATAAATAAAGTTTACAAAATTAGCGAAATGAAGTAGCTATTTTTGCCGTAAAGATAAAAAAAAAAAATTACTTAAAAAATATTTAAATATAAAATTTTTTAAAATCGTAATATAAATATACTTGATGTAGAAAAATAATTTTACTGACGGTAAATAACTCGGATACATTTTACTTCTATTAAATGAAATATAGTCTAAAATCTAATAATGAAAATATTTTAAAGTTATAATTAAAATTGTAGTTAATTAAAATGAATTCTAACCTAAACTTCTTTTAAATTGTAATTAAATAAATAAATAAAGTTTACTAAAATAGAGAAATGAAGTAGCTATTTTTGCCGTAAAGATAAAAAAAAATTTACTTAAAAAATATTTAAATATAAAAAAAAGTATTTAAAATCGTAATATAAATATACTTGATATAGAAAAATAATTTTACTGACGGTAAGTAACATTTTACTTCTATTAAATGAAATATAGTCTATAAAAATTTATAATGAAAATATTTTAAAGTTGTAATTAAAACTGTAGTTAATTAAAATGAATACTAACCTAAACTTCTTTTAATTTGTAATTAAATAAATAAATAAAGTCTACTAAATCGGAGAAGTGAAAATTTTACTTTAGTAATATTTAAATATAAAATTTAAAAAAAATCGTAATATGCTTTAAATATAGGGAAAAAAAATGCCATAAGAATTTTAGCCGTTAACAATATAATTTTAAAAAATCTAGACGACAGGCTTTAACGGAAGTTAGATTTCATTGAAAAATGCATCCCTTCCCACGACCCAAACGTAGCAATAACTGATACATTAAATATAGACATATTGAAAACCTAGCCACCCCTGTCTAGAAAAATAGGTTTATCTGTAACCTTGGAAACATGTATTTTGTATTAGCTGTGTATTTAAAACCCAGTAATTTAAAAAAGTTACTCCAAAATTCGCTTGAGGATGAAATGGAACTAATGTCATTAATTTAATTACAAAATTAAATTTGGAGCTTTTAGCTTCCATTTTTGAAACATGGTTAGAACTGTGTAGCGAAAAAAAAACATATTTTAAATCAATTAATTTATAATATATACATATATATATATATGTGTGTGTGTGTGTGTGCGTGCGTGTGTGTGCATTTCTGTGTATGTGTATTTGAATGCGTATTTAGAAACAAACATATTTAAAAGAATTCAGAAAACTTCACAAGCCGAGAGACAAAGATATAAATTTCTCCGATTAGCGAATAACTACACAATAAAGAAAGGAAGCAAACGCCCAAAATATACAGAATTCTACGACCGTTTCCTATTGGGAATGATTTTCTTTTTCTTTGCCGGGTTTTCCAGCAGAGTCGTTGATTGCCGAAGGAAAACCGTCAAGGACAATCTTTTACCGGAAAAGCAGGCCACCCACCGCTCACCTGACCGTCAGATAGGCGTTTAAGATACGAATCCTACCAGTAATTGCCTTCCCATTATCCCGTACCATCTTCACCACTAGGAAACCTGGTCGGACTTAACCGAAACCAGAAACGCATGCTGAGAATTTATAAAACACTAAAAGAAGATTGCAATGCTTTGTCATGTCATAATGATACCACCTCTTTTTTTTATTGCGACTGATCAATAAGTAGATTAAAGTCGGATATTATTGTTTTATTCTTGGTCTATACGCCGTGTCTCGTCAGGACGTAGCCGATCATAGCTCTCCACAACTTCCTGTCTGTCTTTGTCTTTTTGCTATCTCTCTTAAACCCTGTTCCCTAAATCATTTACATATGTTTCCTATGTAGGTTATTGACTACATTCCTCTGTATTTTCTTGCTTTCAATATATCTTGTGAGTGTCGAATTTTCCATGCCTTCTTTCCTCATTATATGCCGTAAACATTTCAGTCTTCTCCTTTTGATTCTTAGTATAACAGCCCAGCACTTTTTTTTGTTTTTCTTTTCAACAGATCTTTCCTCGGGGAGACACCGTGTCTTGTGGCCTTCAAACACGAACACAACCTCAAGTGGAACTTGTACCTACGGTCCATTCCTAAGTATTCAGGTAAAATCTTCGGCTCCCTTTACCGCTCCTTTAAGTACCTGATATTTCTTGCTATCCGCTATCTTTAAGTCAGCCAGAACAGGCCAAAAATGGCGCCCTGTTGTCATATTTAGTCGCGAGATATCCACACCTCACTCTCCCGCCTTTATAGAGTTCATAAGCGTCTCCGTGCCCTTGTGTATTCGAAATATTCTCTACCCTCCAACCCGTGTCTCACAGGCCGGATGTGACAAGACTCTCGCTACTCTAACGCTTCTTCCACGGAAAGTGCTCGGGCGAACTACATTCCTTGGTACCACCATGGCACTTACATAATAGCAAAACACACACATTCTTCCCGTATTCCATCAGTGGTTCTACTCGAGCACCTTCTTCCCGCGAATCACTGCTTTATGGAACCAACTCCCAAGAGGATGTTTCCCCAATCACTACAATTTTAACTTGTTTAAGGCTAGGATTAAACGTTATCTTTCCGACCAATGCGCAGAAATTGGCCCCTAAAGTAACGCAATACCTCGAGTGACCCCGTACAAGGTGAACTATATAGAGAGTGGAGTAATGGATAGCGGCTTGGATTGAGGAATCGGAGAGCCGAGTTCGAATTCCAGTCGAGACCATTATATACACTTACGTGCTAATATCCTTGGGAAAGGTGTGAATGCTCTTCTTCTCTCTCCAGCTATGTGTCAATAGCAGGACAGACTGGGTTCTATAGCCTTGGATGGAAACTGGTCTAGGAGAAGGACAACTTCCAAACCTGCGGAGGGTCGTTTGGGGACCTTGTGGCACGTAGTGCACCAGGTCTCTATATTCGGCCCTTCAAAAAGTGTGGATGGTCCTGCACGAAACCTTCACCACTATAATCAAATCTCATGTGCTATTGTTGGCTGTTAGTTTCCTAGGAGCTGATCTGCTTGATCCTCATACGTCGAATTCGACGAGGAGAGAGAGTCGATATATATATATATATATATATATATATATATATATATATATATATAAAGAATCTGTATGTATACAAGTACAAATTTAACGAATAAAATGTCCCAAAACTTTTTGCTGTAAATTTCAAAATAGGTTATTCCAAAATTCGCTTGAAGATGAAACAGAACTAATGCTTTTGATATAATTATATAATTGAATTTGAAGTTTTTAATTCATGCTTTTGAAACATGGTAATACCTGTGTATCGATAAAACCATGTTTTTAAATTAGTTAATTTATAATATGTATATTCTGTAAGTTTACATTCAGCACTGTTTTGTTAGAACACCAGATTATATATCTTACTGTTCATTCTTTTGTTACTTAGTATATATATATATATATATATATATATATATATATATATATATATATATATATATATATATATATATATATATATATATATATGACTTTCAGAACCGCTAATTAGATTGACTGTTTGCTGACCTTAAATTGTTGGCCATGTTTCTAAGTGCTAAGTTTTAAGTGCATATCTGTTTATGATCGGGTGTGGTGAAGGACAATCAGGGCCAGTTGTCGAAAATTCGTTTTCTTTTTCCCTCTAATTTGACGGATGAAGCTGTCAAGGCAACATAGCACTGATACGAAGTCTCTTGGGAACAGCTCCTCTCGAAGGCCGTCCCAACCAGAACCCATAATGTTATACGCTTCTTCCATCAAAGCCATTCACCATATCGCTTCATATTTGGCTGTGTTGCATGTATCTCGTATACTTTCATAAAACTGGTTTTCCTGATAGGCTTACTTAAGCTTTATATATTTTTACAATTGATAACGCGTCCTTCACTAAATCGATAATAATAATAATAATAATAATAAGAAGAAGAAGAAGAAGAAGAAGAAGACGAAGAGCTTTATCTATATAAAATGTGTGTGATCTTTGTTTTTTTTTTTGTTTGTTTTTTTACAAAAATTAGTGAAAAATGCTGTGAAGACATTTCTGTCCTTAGCTCTCTGATTGGGACCCGGAAGAAAATGTGTATACAACGGCAAACAAAGAAAATAATAATAATAATAATAATAATAATAATCTTCAGAAAACTATTAAAATACAAGAATCTTGAAATGAAATTGTCAATATTATGTAAGGATATCAATAATTCCAGTTATAGTTGGAGTTTTCGGATTGATTGGAAAAGGTTCCGATAGATTCATTGAAGGGATTCCTGACAGCCCACACCTTAAAGAAATACAAAAAAATTGTACTCACAAGTACAGCCCACACATTACGAAGAGCTTTATCTCCGTAAAAAAACTGGGTGTGATATTAGGCTTTCTTGTTTGTTGTTTTTTTTTGTGCGTTTTTTCGTTGTTTTTTTTGTTGTTGTTCTTTTACAAAAATAATCAGTAGAAAATGTCATGAAGCCATTTCTGACCTTAGGTCTCAGGTTGGGACTCGGAAAGGAAATGTGTGTACAACAGAAATCAAATGAAATAATAATAATAATAATAATAATAATAATAATAATAATAATAATAAAATGTACAGATACTACACTAATCTTAGGCCAGTCCTAGACAGAGATACCGATCTCTATGTAAATTATCTATTCATTTTTTACAGGTACTATTCTGGCATTGATAACAACGTTACTAACCCTGAAGGAATAAGTAATGAGGTGTTTTTTTGTTGTTGTTTTAAAAAATGTCTTACGAGAGCAAGTAATTCATATTTGAGGCAAAATATACCAAAAATAAATTTAACCAGTTTCGAATTCACAGCAACAATCCAATCCTCTGAGGAGACAGTCATCTGACAAAAAATATATATATATATATATATATATATATATATATATATATATATATATATATATATATATAATAAAAAAGGCTTAAACACTAATATTCCATGGTCATAGTTTATTCCTGGAATCGTAAATACGATCCAATTCAAAATATATACATATATATGTGTGTGTGTGTGTGTGTGTGTGTGTGTTGTGGGACTCGGAAGAAAATGTCTATGCAACAAAAATCAAAGGAAATAATAATAATAATAATAATAATAATAATAATAATTTAATTAATTCACAAAATAAATTATTAAAAAAAAAAGGTATCATTTTTTTCTCCCTTTGCTTGTCGATTGTTTTCATTCATGGACTTATTTAACAAAGACGAAAAGATTTCCTTTCGAGAAGTATTTCTTAAGTAACCAGAAAATTCATTCGCAATTGTCTGGGTTCGCTTTTATCGTTGTCCTATCGGGATGGCTTATTCGAAAATCTCGATACTAGAGTTGTTTTTAGCGTTTCAAACTGCATCTCCATTACTCGACATCTCGGCGGGTGGGTAATTTAAAGCCCAATCGCCACATCCCATTTGCAGAACGGATCTAGGTCCATTGGCCTCTCTGCAGGTGAACAAATCTAGATGGCCTTGGAGAGACGCTGCGGGACAGTTAACAATCTGAATGAGGAAAATGTCGGAAGAAACGGAAAGGTCGTGAAGAGTTTCATATAATATTTAAAATGGCGCTTCTTTCATTTTACAGGACTAGGCTTGGTGTATGACTGGCATTAACATTGAAATAGGAATGCACTTACTTTTTTTTTTAAACATTTTTTTTTTCTTTGGGAAAACAAAATTCGAATAATGCTAACCGGAAGTTTATGTTTTTATTTTTTTCCACATATTTTATTTTTTCGTCTTGTATTTAATTATTTCTCTAATGCCTGCCATTGTCTTTGTTTTTCTAATGTTATTTTTTTCTTATGTTGTAGAGGAGTTTTCTTTTTGGAAAAAATAAAATAAAGAAGTCCTTGGCTTTTCGACATCAGCTGTTATTTTCTTCTGGTTTTATAGATATCTTTATTATTGCGTGCCGTGCAATTATTTAATCATTGTATATTAATGGATTGTCGAATAGAATTCATTAGTTTCTTATTTGTGTTATACACTCCTAATTTACCGTATATAAGCCCCCCCCTCCTAAAAAAAGAAACAATGTAAGAACTCACAGTATCACAGTGTGGGGCATGATCGCTGCTCCAAGAATTAAATGCACATTTTGAAACTCATGTTTATAAGAATCTCCACGGGAAGAACGTAAAATGTAAACAAGTTAATAAGTTACAGAAAAAAGGGTTTATTCTTGCATTTCTCTTTTTCTTACTTTCTTTCTTTCTCGCATTTCTTTCTTTCTTTTTTATTTCTTTTCTTTATTTCTCGCATTTCTTTCTTTCATTCTTTTTTTTCTTTTCTTTATTTCTCGTATTTCTTTCTTTCTTTCTTTTCTTTATTTCTCGCATTTCTTTCTTTCATTGTTTCTTTCCTTTATTTCTCGCATTTCTTTCTTTATTTCTTTTCTTTCTTTCTCGAATTTCTTTCTTTCATTCTTTCTTTCTTTCTTTTCTTTATTTCTCACATTTCTTTCTTTTTTCTTTCTTTCATTCTTTCTTTCTATCTTTTCTTTATTTCTCGCATTTCTTTACTTCTTTCTTTCTTTCTTTCTTTCTTTCATTCTTTCTTTCTTTATTTCTCGCATTTCTTTCTTTCTTTTCTTTATTTCTCGCATTTCTTTCTTTCTTTTCTTTATTTCTCGCATTTCTTTCTTTCTTTTCTTTATTTCTCGCATTTCTTTTTTTCTTTCTCACATTTCTTTCTTTCATTTTTTCTTTCTTTCTTTTCTTTATTTCTCGCATTTCTTTCTTTCATTCTTTCTTTCTCGAATTTCTTTCTTTCTTTCATTCTTTCTCTCTTTCTTTTCTTTATTTCTCGCATTTCTTTCTTTCTTTCTTTCTTTCTTTCTTTCATTCTTTCTTTCTTTCCTTCTCGCATTTCTTTCTTTCATTCTTTCTTTCTTTCTCTCTTTTCTTTATTTCTCTCATTTCTTTCATTCTTTCTTTCTTTTCTTTTTTTCTCGCATTTCTTTCATTCATTTTTTCTTACTTTATTTCTTTCTTTTCTTTATTTCTCGCATTTCTTTCTTTCTTTATTTATTTATTTATTTCATTCTTTCTTTCTTTATTTATTTATTTATTTCTTTCTTTCATTCTTTCTTTCTTTTCTTTATTTTTCGCATTTCTTTCTTTCATTCTTTTCTTTATTTGTCGCATTTCTTTCTTTCTTTTCTTTATTTCTCACATTTCTTTCTTTCATTTTTTCTTTCTTTCTTTTCTTTATTTCTCGCATTTCTTTCTTTCTTTCATTCTTTCTTTCTCGAATTTCTTTCTTTCTTTCTTTCATTCTTTCTTTCTTTCTTTTCTTTCTTTCTCGCATTTCTTTCTTTCTTTCATTCTTTCTTTCTTTATTTCTCGCATTTTTTTCTTTTCTTTCTTTCTCGCATTTCTTTCTTTCTTTCTTTCTTTCATTCTTTCTTTCTTGCATTTCTTTCTTTCATTCTTTCTTTCTTTCTCTCTTTTCTTTATTTCTCTCATTTCTTTCATTCTTTCTTTTCTTTTTTTCTCGCATTTCTTTCTTTCATTTTTTCTTACTTTATTTCTTTCTTTTCTTTATTTCTCGCATTTCTTTCTTTATTTATTTATTTATTTATTTCTTTCTTTCATTCTTTCTTTCTTTTCTTTATTTCTCGCATTTCTTTCTTTCTTTCTTTCGTTCTTTCATTCTTTCTTTCTTTTTTTATTTCTCGCATTTCTTTCTTTCCTTCTTTCTTTCTTTTCTTTCTTTCTCGGATTTCTTTCTTTCTTGTATTTCTTACTTTTACGTCCCACTTTCTTTTACCTCATGTCAGCTTAATACTTTCTAAATGAACATTTTCTTTCAGTCCTTTCTTCACTCATTTTCTCATCCATTGCTTTCTTTGATTTCTCTCGTTTTCATTGTTCTCTTTCTGTCAAGGGGTCCACCCCTTTTTCATACAAGTGGACTCGCCCAGTGTGTACTTGTACTGCTGCCGGTGAATGCCCGGGAGATAAAGATACACTGATACGGTGAGGCAGTAAACAGTGAGAGAGTGAGAGAGTGAGGTAACCGCTTAGTAGGAGTCACAGTTGCGAGCACGTAGACTCAGAAGGAAGTCATACTTCGATACTGAATTTCCCAGACTGTATATATATATTATTATTATTGCTACTAACCGCATTTCTGGATCTACTAACCGTATTACCAATTGTATTATTACGTCAATACATTTATTTGCTATATTTCATTCCTGCGTTTGTCATTCATTTTGAGACCGGATTTCATCCCCGAATCCACAACAATTTCTTTTCTTACATTTTATTATATATATATTCTCCTTCTTTCTTTCTTTCTTTATTTATTTATTTCTCTTTCTTTATTTCTTTCCTTATTTCTTCGAAGGTTTGTATTTCTTTGATCTTCCATTGTGCATTGATACTTTTTAATAGACATATCCTTCCTGACTTCTGTCCACACCTCCTTCCATGAGATATAAGAGAAGAAATTAATATTAGAGAAAAAACTCTAATATTAATTTCTTCTCTTATATCTCATTTGTTCATTTTTCTGTTTTCTTTCTTTTAGTTTCTCTCTCATTTCTTCCCCGTTGTTTTTTTTTCTCAGTTGTATTCCTTCTTTGAACAGAGTTTCTGTCTTTTTATGTCTGCTCTCTTTCCTTTTACTTCTTTATATTCAATTATATTTTATCTAATTGATGTTTTTCCCTCATTCTTTTTTTGTCTCCTACTATTGACGTTCTGTTTTTCCTTCCTCGAGATTATATGAATTTGAATTCGTTCTTTTGACTTTCTTTCTTTGTTCAGTAATACTCTCATTATGGTTCTCCTTTTCTTCAATATTTCAGTTCTTTTTTTTTCTTTTTCACTTTCAAGGTCAGATTTCATATCTCTGTCTCATCAGGTTCCTTTGATTTTTCTTATTCTTTCTCTCCTTTTCTTTCTAATATATACTTTCTTCACTCTTCCTTCTACAGTATTTAATCGTACATATATATATATATATATATATATATATATATATGAAGAAATATAGTCTTAAGATGTGCTATATTTATCGGATAAAGTGCTCAATATCGGAGATAGAGCGTGTGTAAATATAAAAGTGAACATACAAGTCAACACTTAGAGACGACAGTCTGTTTCATGCTATATGCAATCGTCAGGACACGAATGCTGTTATTTTTCTCGGCTTTTTATATATATACGGGTCAGCGGTGCTTTGTGGGTAGTCTATTTTGACGGTTATTTTGCCGGAAGTCGTTTATTTGTTTATTTATTTATTTGGGTGAAGTTATTTTGCTTTTTTTTATTTATTTTTATTTTGTTTTTAATTTTTATTTATTTATTTATTTATTTTATTTGTTATCTTATACATTTATTTATTTATTTATTTATTAATCGGTGTTTTTATTAACGTAGTAAAAATTTGTTTATATCGTTTATTTATATCGTTTATTTAATAGTTTTGTTTTGCTTTGAGAACTATATATATATATATATATATATATATATATATATATATATATATATATATATACTTCTTGACAAGATCCAGAGACGGATATGTAATATAATTGGCCCTGATCTGGCATCTCGTCTACAGTCACTCTCCCACAGACGCGCGGTCGCCTCTCTCTGTCTTTTCTACAAATGCTTTCATGGTAATTGCTCCGCTGAGCTGCTTTCACAAGTTCCCAGACTCCATGAATTCAAGCTCCCTGCGAGGTTGCCATACCGCTCTCACGCTTTCACTGTCGAATCTATTAAATGTAGCCGTCTTTTCTACTCCAATAGCTTCATACCTCGCACCTCTCGCCTGTAGAACACCCTTCCCAATTACTGTTTCCCTGTGAGCTATAATCTCCAACTATTCAAATGTAATGTCAATCGACATCTCCACTTACCTTGATCTATCCTCATCCTTTCTTCTATCACTCCTATCTGCTCTCGCTCCAAATCCTCTGCAACCCCCTGCATCCTAGTGGCTTCACGCCATGCTCGGGGCGTAATGCTTAAATATATATATATATATATATATATATATATATATATATATATATATATATATGTGTCCGTGTGTTTAGGCAGCATTTTTTCAGTGATGCATGTTTCATTAAATAATATAGACAAGTCAAACACAACTATACTTAAACATGAAAACAAAAACTAAAAATTCTTGAAGCTATATACATAAACCAGTTGAAACCTAATCTGAACAAAATAAACTATAAAATCACCACAAATATTCTTAAACGCCTATAATTGATAACAGAAGCCTTTGGTTTATACCAACGGTTTCCCATACTTAATAATTCTCGTTTTTTCTCTCGCGTGGTCATGTGTAACGTTACGGATGGGGTACGATTTTCACTTCCGCGACTCGTATACACGAGTTTGTCTTTGCCTTGAAATTTTTCATGCAGCAAAAACAGACTATCATTATTGTTTTGTCCGTGTATTGTTTAATGTATTGAGATGTAATTGTCATCTTTGTTAATGGCTTAAGTAACACGAAAGCTTAGGTAGGATTAAAAAAACATGTATCAATATGGTGATTTTCTTTAATCTTTCAATGATAATGTTATTAAGCTTATCAGACAATATGAAAGGAATAGTACTTAGTCTTTGCCGTCGCGTCTCGTCATTTGACTTTATCAAGGCAAGTGATGATAAAGAAAAGTGAAATGTTGTGTAGCTACATGAAATTCAAAATTTTAAAAAAGACGCTTCTCTGTAAGCCTCTGTTTGGATATTAGTAATTTTTGCCTCTTTTTAATATTTTTACATTTTTTATCATAGCTTACCTTGATAATGTCAAAGTACTATTTTCCGATTGTATGTATAGTTTATGCAAACTTAGGTAATCCGTATGGGTAGACCTGAGGAGGATGATATCCAGAGAGCTCAATGTAAAATTCAGAGCAGATATGTTTGAATAAAAAACAGACCACTTTAAGGTTCCATGTAATAAGCTATTTCACCATAACCCCTTTAATAGGGTTCTGGATCATAAGACTTTACTTCCAAAAGCTGAAATTCAGCTTTTGCAAGTAACGTGTGATGATCCAGAACCCTGTTAAAGGTTAAAATATTATTACATGGAATTTAACGTGGTCTGTTTTTAAAAACAAATATATATATATATATATATATATATATATATATATATATATATATATATATACATAAACAAACATTTTTAAAGTGTGCTATATTTATGGGATAAAAGTAACCAGTATCAGAGATAGAGCGTGTGTAAATATAAAAGTAAACATTGATGTCAACACTTAGAGGCGACAGGCTGTTTCATGCTTGACACAATCGTCAGGCCATACACACACACACACACATATATATATATATATGTGTGTGTGTGTGTGTGTGTGTGTGTGTGTGTGTGTGTAGATTTATGTCTCAAACGGTGTTTTAATAGCTTTTCGCTAAATATGAATAACAAGGAATTTTATTATACGAAAAATAAAACAAATCAGATGTGAACTTTCTATATTAGATGAACTCACCAGAAACCCTAATATTTACACACGCAAGTGCAAAAAGATCAAGCGGAAATATAATATTAATTCCCTAATTGACATTCCATCAATCAAGGAAATGCTGACGCAGAAACTTCAGCTAAATTCACAGAGAACAAGACGATACGAAAAACGTTCTATCGCCAAAATAAAATATTCCGAACAGATCTTAAGAAATTTTACAGGGTAATTGGAAACACCTATACATGTCGAAAGGCCACCATCGATTGATAATGTACAGATATTTTGGGAAAATATTTGGAGCAGCCCAAAGGAATATAACTCAAATGCAGAATGGATCCGACGTGAAGAAGAATGAATGTTGGATACACCTTTGCAAGAATCGGAAAATATATCCACAGATGATGTTAGGCAAGCTCTAACGAAATCCCAAAAATGAAAATCCCCAGGAAATGACAAGATGCCCAATTTCTGGCCTTATCATCTCTCATCTAGCCATAAAATTCTTGCAAAAAACATTATCAACGCCTGTAAATAATCCCAATAAAATCCCGGAATGGATTACTAAAGGTATTACATACCTCATACCAAAAACAACTGAAACAGACGACCCGAAAAATTACCGATAACATGTCTCTCCAAAACGTATAAGTTGATCACCTCTGTACTGATAAACCGTACTTATTCCTTTTTCGAAACAAACAGCATTCTCCCGCTGGAACAGAAGGGGTGCAGAAGAGGTTCCTATGGCTGCAAAGATCAACTACTGATAAATAAAATGATCCTGGAAAATTGCAGGAGACGACGTAGAATTTTAGCGCAGCGTGGATTGATTATCATAAAGCCTTTGATACTGTTCCACATTCTTGGATCCTTAAGACTTTGGAAATGTACAATGTCCCCCCTGTGGTATTAAATTTCCTTAAGCACAGCATGGGAATGTTGAACACCAAAATATACCTTAGTGACATCAGGGGCACTGCCATATCCAACCGTCTGAATATCCGACGTGAAATCTTTCAAGGAGAGTCTCTGTCACCCCTTCTGTTTTGTTTATCCTTAACCCCTCTTACATATGAACTGAACTTAACGTTATATTATTAATATTATTATTATTATCATTATTATCATCATCATTATTACCATTATATTATTACCGTTATATTATTATTATCATCATCATTATTACCATTATATTATTACCGTTATATTATTATTATTACTTCATCATTATTACCATTATATTATTAACATTATATTACTATTATTATTATAAACATCATTAATACCATTATATTTTTACAAAGTTATATTATTATTATTATTATTATTATTATTATTATCATCATCATTATTGTCATTCTATTATTACCGTTATATTATTATCATTATTATTATTATTTGTTCCTTTGTTCCTTAACACGTATGTTATGCCCGGTCATTATTTCAGATAAATAATGGACTATTCCGTTTTGTTTGTGAGGAAAGACAGGCGGAAACAATCCATCAGATACGCTATTTCGTTTTAATGAAAGAAAGTAAGAAAGTACGGTGCGAAAAGAAAATAGTGACAGGGGTGAAGCTGTTGACTTTCCACACCACTTCAAGCAGAAGATTAGGAAGGAGCCCCTGCATTTAAACTGGATAAGACGGATAAACAGATACATGTCTTAAGGAAACCATTTTCCTGAAAAAAATTGTTGTAATAGAAAGATTTTGGTTTGCAGTTGGTGGTAGAATTTGCTGCCCTGTCGATGAATGCCAAAAGTTTCCAAATAAGGAAACACCCATTAAAAGAAATGAGAACAGATACGTGAAGGCAAAAAGAACAAAAATATGAACGGATAAGCAACTTATAAATAAGCAGTGATTATTATTATTATTATTATTATTATTATTGATTTCTGGTGCTTACACATTTCTTTCCGGGTCCCGCCCAGGGAGCTAAGGTTAGAAATGGCATAATGACACTGAAAAAAAAAATTACATAGATAAAGCCCTTCGTTAATGTGCTAACTGTACTTATCAAGCACAATTTTGTATTTCTTTTAGGCATGGAAATGCAGAATTCCTTCAATTCGTCTACTGGAATCATCTTTCCAACCAGTCCTATTGGCTCCAACTACAACATAAAATTGTTGACAGAGTTCCCATATCTGCCACAAAATCCTCATTTCTATTTCAAGGTCCTTGTATTTTGACAGCTTTTTGAATATCTTCAAAGATACATTGGGAGTCAGCAGGGACACTGCCATATCAATCAAGAGGCACCGTTTTTGTTTGTGGCCGTTAATAAACAAAAACTGTGCCTCCTTGGTTCTTGATTGTTCTGTCAGTGTGTATTTTGAAGATATTCCCATAAGCTTGTAAAATCCTATCTCCGTAACCGAGTCTGGGTGGTGTTTATACCATTTTCTTTCAGTTTTCTTTCCCGTTGAAGTTGCCGATTTTCCAGTGCAGATATTGGTTGGAAAAAGTCATTCCGGG